CGTATAAAAACTTTATAAAAAACGTATCCAATTTTTTTATAGGGAGTGGGCTTTATTTTTTTTTTTTTTGGAAAAGTTTCCAAGTTCTAATTATAAGGAATTCCTTTTTTTATCGTTCACATTATTAGCTCACTAATAGGTAATAGATAACAATTCACAAAAATTAATTAAAGAAACTTGTTAAGAAATTCTAAAAAGAAGTCGTTAATCGTTATTGTTAACCCTTAAATGGTAACTTAGGAGGTCAAAAAGAAATAAATTTCATTTGTTGTCAAAGATTGACGTTATTAACCCTTATATGGTATGGCGGTATGGCTTTTCAGACCTACTTCTAATTCCGGCCGAACTTAATCATAGTATGTGCGTAGCACATGATGTAAGATGTGTAAGATGTCGTAATAGGATCGTAATTAGTGAATTAAAGGACTTGTAATTCTATTTTTTATTTTTGTGATTTTTTATAAATACCGTAATAATTTTTTTACCGAATTAAATTTTTTTTTTAATAAATATTTATTTATTTGATAACTTTTAACGCACTCACAAAAGTCTGAGAATGGCCATAAATAAGTGTTGTTATTGTATTCCGTTAAGAATAGGAGTAATAATCATATCGATAATATGGATTGTAAGTAGTAAATTGTATATTTATAATATTTATAATGCTTTTTTTCAATAATAAATTACTTTTTACATAATTAAAAAAAAAAGTTGTTTGGAGCTTATCAAACTGCAAAAGGTATTGCTAGTCTTGCCATAGCAATACCAAATAATGGAGTATTCTCGGTTGGACTATTCCAAAATCTTCGTGCATTTATTATTGTATCAGTTATTCTTTACGCATTAGTTACAATTGGTGCAGCATTTGGATTAATCGTTGTATTATGTGCAGTATGTATTATTAGCAACGTTATTCTATTTAAAAAACTTACTATTAAACTAATTTTATGATTTTTTTTTTATTTAGCATAAACCAAGAAAGTTGGAAATATATGCTAAAATAGCTTATATCATCGCAGCAATTCAAATTATAAGTAATATAATAGATATTGCCGCTGTTGCACTATTAAATAAGGAAATGAAGAAAATGTGTTCCCAATTTCCACAGGGATTTTCATCTACTGCTAATCAATTTGCCAATTATGCAACTGATACATGTTCTTCTACAATTAATAATATTTCATCAGCATCATTAGCATATGTTATTATTATTGCTATTATTGTAACAATTTTTGTGGTATGTGAAAAAAAAAAATTATTTTATTATTGTAAAAAAAAAAGAACATTCTAATCAGAAGGAATAATTTCTTTTTTATTATAATATAGGTATACTTTGCTATGGTAATTTCAGCTTATGCGCGTAAAAAAAGGGAACAAGAGGATGCTGACAAAACTAACAATCCACCGTACTATTAAAATTTTGACTAAATCAGCGTATAGTGTTCAATGATAAATTAAATCAATCATTTAGAATTTTTATTTTAAAAATTTTTATTATTTGTTATATAAATTAATATCAATACATGTTAATATAAAATTATAAACCTTTTTATTAAAATCATGCACTGCCACCTATTTTCAATTGTGTAACGCCTCCATATCAAAAATATTAAACCTGCCAACTCGGAGAAACGCCAGACTCATCGGCTAGTTTATTTTTTATTTTCTATATGAAATTATATATTATTTTAGGTGACCTATAAATGAGAGAAAAATAAGAGCAATTCGTATAAAATCATGTCAAATATTTTATTTTTCTCTTAAAAGAGCTAACGAGGACCCAGAAATATATATAAAAGGGTCAGGTTTGAGTTTGCGTATTTTGAACTAAAAAAATCATGAAAATCTTTCCTTTTTTAGATAATTTTTGATAATGCCAGTCAGAATTTTATTTCCTATTATAGTAACCGACTGGCATTATCATAATTCCGGCCCTGAAAAAATGCGTACAGCTCATAGTAAAAAAATTTTTTCATCACCTGACCCCTATATATATATTTCTGGGTCCTAGCTAACGTTTTATTTTTTGCTTTGTATAGTAACGAGACATCTATAATTCACCTTAGGGCATTAGCAATCATCTAATTTGTGATGTGATAATTGTGACATGCATCTGTTACACCACAATATATATCACGTGAAAGTATCGTTGTGACAACTCAGAAAAAGAAATTCCTAGTTCCTACTTTTAGGATATATTGCTACATGGAAAAGATTAGGCATTGTAAATCATTTTGCCAAAACAGAAAAAGAATGTAAATCAAGAGTGAATTAAATTATTAGTATCACAAATAAGAAATGATTTTCAAAATACCGGTTTTGCATGGTTACATTTGTAGTTTTAAATATTTTGTCACGCGACTTTATAGTATTATTCCGTTTGGGACAAAAAAAAAACACAAATTGGATAACTAATCACGAGACTTTTACAAGAATAAAAAAACATAACTCCTTTGTAAAACAAATAGATTTTTTTAAAAGGAAACTCAATTTTTTATTTATTATTTTTCATTGACTCATTCTAAAGAATAATGGCTTTAATTTGATGTTTCAAGATTTTTTTTTTTAATATAAACGGAATGAAAAAGATTAAAAAAGAGGAGCTTTTTTATAACAGATGGTGTTTTTTGTTGTTTTCTCCTGAAATTAAAAAATTTTTTGATACAAAGTAATAAACAAAGAGAACATATGAGCAATAATAATGACTTTTCTATTATCTTAAAATCAGTAAATATTTATAAAACTAACGTTAAAATGTTTTTTTTTTATTATGTGCATTTCATCCGTTATCTCAACTTTTAACATATGTGCATTACCAATAATAGAATTATTAAAGTTTTAAGGTATCATGTTCGGATCTTCTGGTTACCTGAGTCTGTAAAATGATTTTATTTTTTTATTTCTAAGGAGTGAGAAAAATTGTTTATGTGATTAAACATATTAAGTAACTTTTAAAATTGAATAAAAACCATGTTGTACAAATTTGTTATACGAATTTTTTGTATCATATAATAAATAAATGTTTCACTATTTTTTTTTTTTTATATTTTTTTGCTTATCAGTAATAATAACTCATAATTAAAAAATTTTTCAAATGTAAATAGATGAGCGCCGGCGTGGTTCGATTTTTATTAACAATCTCATGTAACACGATGGATAATTCCTTTTTTGTAAAATTTCATCAAAAATATTGTACGCCTAAAAATTATATACTATATATATATATTATATTATATACGATTATAAAATTTAATGATAATTTTCCCACAATATGAATATATATGTGTTAATATACCACTTAAAAAGTGAATCTTCTGGCATATAATCAAATCAAATGATCAATTATATATATTATCTATTTATCTATTTATTTGACCGATATATATTAATATATATTACATATATATTACATATATTGCATATATATTATATATATTGCATTTTAAAAAAAATTATGTCCGATATACTTTATAATTAATCAATTATGATCACATTATTATAGTTATTACCTTAATTGATTTGTACCTGATCTATCAACTTGTTAGTCGTTAGTTATTATCATTATCATTGTGATAATGGATTTATGGACTTTTTTATATTCTAGAAGTATATAAATACATGCATAAAAACTTTTCCTTTTGTTGCGTTCTCTTAACTTTTTTAGTAGCCCCATAAAATACAAGAATTTTATGCAAAAAAAATTTTATATTGTTGGTTCAGTCGTTAGTTTCTCTTTTTTTTTCTAAGTAAAATAATACATAAAAATGTCTTCAACCCAAAATGGTGCCTTAAACATGCCTACTAACAGCAATGTTATGAGCAGAAGAAATGTCAATAATAGGGAAAGACAAAACCAACTTATGAGAAGAAGAATTATTAATAAGTTACAACAAAAGTGTTCTCAACTTAATAATACCCCTATCGATAATCAAGATATGTTGGACCGTATGTCAAATATGCCTCGTCAAATCGTCAATAACGAGATGATAAGCCAATTCTTCAATGGATTTTCATTTTAAACTAGGTAATTACTGTATGCAAATTATTTTTTATGGTTCTTTTTTTAAAAAAATAAATAATTATTAATCGCATGTGGTAATTAATTTTGAATATTTAGGTGATGGAAATCTTTTCTACATATTTTTCGTGGTTATCAATCGGTGGTTTTGTGGGTTTATCAATCGTTTTTCAACGATTTTTTTTTTCTATGTAAAAGACCGTTAAAACGGTGGTTCTGTGGTTTTATCAATCGTTTTTCAACGATTTTTTTTTTTATGTAAAAAGCCCGTTAAAACGGTGGTTTTGTGGTTTTATCAATCGTTTCTTCAACGATTTTTTTTTTTTTTATGTAAAAGACCGATAAATTTTAAGGTTATAATGATTATGATTTTTTATGATTTACATTATTGTCTCTATTACAGTTTTATATAGTATGTTAGTAAATGTATAAACATGTCATTATAAGATTTTATTAAATAAAACGTTCTAACTTGCTCAACGCTAATATTGAAATATTATACAGTACAACTTTCAATCATTGATTTTTACGTTAAAAAGGATTATTATGAACATGATGGGAATAATCGATTTTAAAAGATTATGTTCACATGATAAAATAAAAAAACTATCTAACACGCCAAATGTTTGGTTTTTGGACAAATATTTGGATGAAAACCGCCATTCTACCTACCTATCTTTCGGATCAAATCGGTACACAAATCGGAAATTTAATTAAGATCTTCAATCTGTATTTTTGTAAACAAGCCCCACATATAATTAATATAATTATGTAAATTGATTCTAATAGGTTAATTAGCCAAATTTATAATTAACGGTTAATTTATTATCCCTACCCATATTATTAAGGTACTGCACATATAAAATTCATGATTTTTTTATCCTTGTTATATCCTTGTTATTTCATCATAAATAATGGATATGTTATACATAGTTAAAAATTGAATTTTACTGTTTAAATTTAATGTGACACGCTGTCACTCGCTTTATACATTTATATATTTGATATTTATCTATCAAATTTTTTTTTAAAAATTTCTTTTTGTTCATTCAATTTATAATTTATGTGATACGTGATTTATATTTCTATTTTTATGACGCTCATTAAAAAATTTTTACTTGGATATTATCTTTTTCTGAGAGGAGAGAAGATTTGTTTTGAAAAGTGGCACAGTCAATTCTATCTAAGTGCACTCTCTCCAAGTGCACGCATTATATATTTATTCTCTGAATGCACCCTCTTACTCAGTCTCAAGTGTATAGAAAGCATATAAAATTTCTCTCTTTAAATGCATACCCAAATTTTCATGGGTCGTGGCCGTATTAATTCTGTAATTGGGAGAAATTACTTTAAGCGTATATCACAACCTAATAACTTAATTAACACTTTAATTATATTAAATTAAAATTATGTGGTACAGCAGAAAAATTTGAAGTAAATCCATTGATAAAATGAGAATCATCCACTTTCCAATATAGCGTCACTTTGCATGTGACTATTATGTGGCTATTATCACATACTAGGATATCAACAGTATGTCTATTATGATAAACATTTTTTTAATTACCATGGCGCTGTCAAATGTATAGACCGAACAACTGGGCAATAAAAAAACTATTATGCAAAAAAAATTTGACCGGTTACACTACCTCCCGTCTCCCAAAATCATTACCTTTTAAATAGTAGTATGTGATTTTTTTTTACATATTTTTTATAAATTCTTAATTATTATTATAATTTCATATATTTTTATGATATTTAAAATTTATTTTCCTTTTATATATTTAAATAGTTTGATTTTCATTATTATAATTCATTGTATTGATTTTATGACTAGAACGGTCACAACTCACAAATCGTATACCATTCGTGAAAATAAATATAATGACAATAAAAGAAATTACAATTTGATTAAATAATGATTTCTGTTTTTATTAATTATTAAATATTATAAACATTCGGCACTCTGACCCGCATTAAATGCCTAATTTTTACTATAAAAATATATAAAATAAGATATTTTAATATATGATAATTGTTTACTAATTTTTACTATAAAATATAAAATATGATATTTAATATATGATAATTGTTTGCTAATTTTTACTATAAAATATATAAAATAAGATATTTTAATATATGTTAATTGTTTAATGTGTTATCTCATTATAATAACGCAGAAGTTTAGAGAAAATACAATATATGTATCTTTTTTAATTTAATACGACTACAAAATTATGGTTAGTTTGATCGGATGATTCATTTAAATTTCTAACAGCTGCTGCTTCTTTTTCCTTTTTTCTACATGCATAAGATGAAATTGTTAAAGAAGAGTACACCTAATATCATAATAGAAAATAAATATATTTTAGTTTATAAAAAATAATTTTTTTCTTAAAAAAGAAAAATATTAAATTAATACGTACCGAGAAAAGAATTTCAAAAACAATTTCGTATGGTTGATCTACAATCATACGAATTTTCTCCTTTTGTACATCCGAATACTATTGAATTAACAATTACTGCTATACCTATTATAACTTCAATTCCTGCTGCGATGAAACCAAGTGTAGAGTATAACTTCAACATTCTATACTTTTTCTAAATAAAATTATGTTAAGTTTTAGCTTAATTTCATTCTGAAAAGAGAAAATCTTTTAATTTCTTCCATTACATCATACCGAAAAAATTACAGCGTACAACCCAAATGTTGCTCCGAGTGTAGCATATACATCAAGGGCCATAACCATGATTTCAAATGTAAAGATAGTAGAGCCTTCCTCTGCTGAAATAATTATTTTATATATTTTTTTTTTAAAAAAAAAATAATTTTGAGCGAATTAAAATAAAGGACTTACAAACTTCTTTTAATCCTTTATCCTGTATATACCGTTTAAGGCCCAAAACTCTGAATATAGTAAAGAATAATCCTATGAACTTTTAAAACGACAAAAAAAATAAAAATAAAAAAAATAATTTTGAATGTATTGTTAATATAAAATTCAATTGCTATTGAACTTGATAGAAAAAATTATGGAAAACTTACAAGCCAAAGTAATGATATAATTATAACACCAGCTTTCAATGGAATGCAGAAACAACATTTAGTTATTTGTAAACCCATTTTTTTTATTGTCTGTTATTAGTTGAAATGTATTTTCTTGAGGAATGTTATTTCGAAAATATTGCATTTATATACCCATATAAATCGAAATAAACTTAATAAACTTCTAAACTTAGAAAGTAACAATAAAGTAAACATATGTGAATTTTCTTACAAAAATATCTCGGCCCGAATCGGTCAGTCACAAAGATTACTCCGATAAATCAATAATAAAAAATTCTTTCTTTTAACTTATTTGTAATTCATTAGATAAATTCTTATCTAAAATAGGACAATTTATTAATGCGCACTAAGTATTAATAATCTTATTTTAATTTTGATTAAGTTTTCAAATCCACGACTATAAAACGAGATGAGATCTACTAAATTTAGAATTAAAGGAAATGTTATACTATTTCATAACAAAGATTTGTCAATTGGTATCTTAATAAACTAATTCTCTTTGAAAACAGAGTTTATAATCCTTGTGATACTTGAGAAAATGAAGATTAATTTTAGTAAACAAAACTATTGTATATATATGTTAATTGTCAGTTATACAGTTATACTCGTAGCCGAAACCTTCGACCTAGTTTTGGTTTCGGATTCGGACAGATTAGTTTCAAAAACCATTTCCCGAAACCGAAACAGGACCCCCGAGCAATACTGAATAGGTAACAAGAAATAACCATGAAAATCTTTCCTTTTTTAGATAACTTTCGATAATGTTGGTCGGAATTTTATTACTTATTTTAGTAGCTGACTGACATTATTGTAATCCCGGCCCTGAAAAAATGCGTAGGGCCATAGTACCCGGGTATCTTGCAAATTTCGGAGGTTTGGTCCTGTCCTCCCTCCCCCCTCCTATTACGCGAATTTTTACTATTAATAGAGGGTGTTTAAAACTTATAAAATAATTAGGGTATTGTTGCACGTCACACAAGATATTTGTTGGATTATTTAAATAATAAATCAACAAAGAATGTGACTTCTCCTTATTCTCTTATAATAATAAACACTAATGGTATAATCTATTAAGGATTTAATTAAATTTTTTAGTTAGAAGTTGATCGGTTCTTTAAAGAGTGCATCTTATTAGCAAGATATGGGAATGTTTTGGCTCCAGAACGTGAAGATTTTATACTGAGGTATTAATAACCAAAGAAGTGGATGATAATGAAATTTAAAATTCACAGTTATAACTTTTTTTTATTTTAGTAAATAAGTAGTAAATAGTAATTTAATTTTTACAATTTAGCATTTTAGCGCACTAATAATAATAATGTATAAATTTGATAATTAATTAATAAATAATAATATCTGCTATAATAAAAATAAATTAAAAATGGTTTTGTAAGTTTCGGACTTTCAGCCTATAATAAAAAAAGATAGTTTCGGCCTATATAAAGTTTCGGCAAGGGTTTCGGGATTTCGGCATTAGTTTCGGACTTGGGTTTCGGAGTTTCGGGTTCAGCCATATTTTTGGGAGGTTTCGGCTACAAGTATATAAATATTATATATTAATGCCTTATAAAGATTGTATTTATATGTACAAAAATCATGTTGGTAAAAATTATTTTTTTAAAAAAATTCTTAATCCTTCAGTTAGTCCAAACGTAAAACCTTTCGAAAGTAAATTACAAGCATGTAAAATACAAGCCAGTGTGGGTGAAGCTTCAAGTAGTGAAATCCTAAAAAAATCAAATGAGGATTTAAGTACAACAAAGCTTTATTTTGGGTATACAATAAGATCGCGAATTTTTTAACTTTGTTGTACAATAACGATAATTAAAAAAACTATTTTTTTTCTTGAGTGATTTAGGGATGTCTTGGTAGCAATTTTACCATAATGACGAGATTTCTGTATGAATCGGCGCTTTCCATCGAACAGATTTTGTATATTGTCGCGAAGATTTATAACGTGATTCTGCGATAAAAGAAAAATTTCAAAGATATTATTTAAAATTTACAATAAAAATACTGCAATGTTGGTTATTACCTTAAACGAAATTAATGATCTTATAATTTCTGATATTGACCGACGTCGCGAATTCATCAAATTTGTCTACCAGGTATACACCTTCATTATCAATAAGGCATCATGTTCCCAAACAGTAGCACGCCGTGCCCAAGTGACCTGCTCGAATCTTTCTGAACTTTTCGGTCAGAATTTTCAGCTTCACCCCTGATCAGTAGTGATAAGACTTACGTCAGTAAATTACATTTGAATTGCTTATTACTTTCATATGAATCTAAATTTCTGAATGCAATTGTCAGATTTTTTTCGATTTTTCTTTGTTGAATCTCGTCAATGAACAAATTTAGTATTTGTTCATAAGTGCTATACGATCATTTCGAAATAATTTTCCTTAAATCTTCAGATGTTTAAACCAAATCATGACATAAACATCGCTTTTAGCATAAGTATGGATGTCAAAATCACAATACGATCTAAAAGATCTTCAGAAGAACGACTAAAAGTTGAGACTTCCTTGTTGTGAGCAATCACAATTATCTAGAAGATTATTGCGAAGGACATTTCCCATATAGGGACAATAGAAGGTTATTAGCTTTCTGAATCCTTACAGGATCCGAACTTTTATTAGCAATTTCGTGGGGCTACGGTACTGACCAAAGTGGTATACCTCGGCCACCCTTATGCCCATGACCACCTTATCGCAACTACGGAATAACGGAGACTAGGTAACCTTCGTCTCAACATCCAAACCTACTCACCCGCGATGATGATCACTTCTGATCTCGCTTCTTAAAGCTTGTTTACGTAAGTAACTGCAATTTTCCTTTTTTTTACCCTCCCCATTTTTTTCCACTTGTTACTTACTATATATCTGGCCAAAGAGCAAGTATACTGTAACTGACACTAATTTATTTTACTTAATTCATATAAGGCCGGGCAAAAAAAATTTTTAGATTCTCGGGACATAAAATTTTAAAAATGACCCGGCCGGCCGGCATTTTTTTTTATATTTGTAAAATTTTTTTATATGTAAAATTTTTTTACGCCACATTGGCCAATAACTTATAATCACGTTATAAAATTTTTTACTATAAAAAAAAATTTCCCATTTTTCGAAAAACTGACCCGGCCGGGTCACGAGAATCTAAAGTTTTTTTTTGCCCGGCCTAATAGAAAGAAATGGTTATGAAAATGTTGAACACAAGTTACAGTAAGATGAAATTATAAATGAAAAAAAAAATTAATATAAATATAAAAATGTTTGTAAAAATCAATTTAGACGTAATTATTATTTGTTGCTGACTTAGCCAAGTCTTTTAAAAACTTGTTGTCACCTGATCACCACGTTGAGGTGCAGCAACATTGATCAGGAGGGAAAGGGGAATACGAAAGGGAAGGGGAGAACGACAGGGAAATGGGAATACGAAAGGGAAAGGGGAATACGAAAGGGAAAGGGGAATACGAAAGGAAAAGGGGAATACGAAAATACGAAAAGGGAGGAAATACACAAACATACACACAAACCCACACTCCCAACCCACATACCTAAAGGAAGACGTAAAGAAAAGGGGCCTAAGAGAAGACCTAATAAAGAGAAGACCTAGACAGAGAAAAGGTAGACCTAAAAAAAAGACGAAAAAAAAAGATAAAAAAAATTAGAGGTAATGAGATATATTTATATTATACTCATTTACTCATGAGTCATACATCAAGATTATGTGTTACATTACGCGTGAGTAACTTTTATAACCTCTATATACAATTATACATCACAAGACTGTATAGAAATATTTAGTCCTTGTTAAACTTCGCAGTTAGGTCATCAAGTTTCAATTATATCTTATTATTTGTAAAAGTAACTTTACGTTGGATTTCAATCTAGAAAAGAAAACTCTTTTAATGGCAACTTTCAATCACGTGATTCGATTTGATATAGCGACGTTACACTTACTTAGTATTACGAAGAGATTTGTTTTCATTTAGCACGGTAAACTCTTCTGAAAGCATCGGTACAAATTTCTTCAATATTTTTAAAATGTTTATGGCCAATGTGCTTTTTAGAAATTGCTTCTACAATCCAGTTAAGCCATTCATTCTTTTCAGACATTTAATATTATTGCTGCGGAAATATATATTTATTCGAGTGAAAAAAAATAAAAAAAGTTTATCTGTCTCATAAGACCCGGATAATTAAAGTCATATCCATATGTTCCAAACTTTACAACTACCTAACATGTAAATTTATTCAAAAACCATACATATAACGGTATCTGATATTACATGATAATCTTGAAGTTAAAAGGGTTCATATTACTAGTTTCCAGATCTAATACATAGAAAATTAGGAATCGATCGATGTGATAAATGTGACTCATGATCGATATACCCCTATAAATAAATATATGAGAATTTTCAGTATTAAACTTTTTTTTACATTTTTTTACATTTTTTTTAACTTTTTTTTAAAAAAGAGATTTTTTTTATCAAGATCAGATTTTTTTTTATCAAGATTCAAGATTTTATTTCCTTTATGAAACAAATCTTGTAACTGATTAATGTAAGAGAAATGATTCTAGTGATATTACGCAATTTATAAATAAAAAAGTTTTTTTAATTTGATGGTAGTTTAGTAGTTTAATAAAAAGATTCATATTACTAGTTTCCAGATCTAATTAAATACATTAGAAAATTAGGAATCGATCGATATGATAAATCACGATCGATATACCCCTTTAAATATTTGTAATGACTCATGAATATTAAGCTTTTTTTTTACTTTTTTTATTACTTTTTTTTTAAAAAAAAAGGAGTTTTTTATCAAGATTCAAGATTTTATGAGTCATTATTTCCTTTATGAAACAATATAGTAAAAAAATCTTGATCTTGTAAATTTTGTACATCGAAGTTCCCATATCATCTACTGTGTAAAAGGTTTTTAAAAAGTATAAATATACCCCAAAGTCCCAAACTCCCTCAAATTTCTCAATACTTCATTTTTCATTTTTTTTTCAAAAACTTCAAACATATTCATATAACGAACTCACTCAGAAAATTAAAGTATGGAATATATTCCATACTTTATGGAAAATATATTCTCAATACTTCATTTTTCGTTTCTTTATCAAAAACCAAATAAATATATTTATATAACAAACTCACGAACTCACGAACTTAGAGAAATTAAACTCGTACTTTATGGAAAAATATATTCAATATGAAATTTTTCCTTTTTACGAACTCTCTCTTCGATAGGTAACTCTTCAGATGAAACTAATAAACCAAGAATACCTTTTACCGGATAGGTTCTTTAGGTCTTCTTTTGTTTTTCGATATTAGAAAAATACATTTTATTATTTTATGAAAATATATTCAATATGATTTTTTTTTTTTATTTTTATTATTTCCAGGCAAGACTCGTGACAATTCTTTCTTGGTTGGCAATGAAATAACAAGCAATATAAAACAATACTCAAACTCAATGTTTAAGGTCAGGTTGAAAATAAAGAATATAATCTTGAATTTTCTACCGAAGATGAAAGAATGTAATACGGTATGGATTGTATTTACAAATTAAGATTTACGGTAGACCAATATTAAGGTAAGCATGCGCTCCCTGNATTCTAATTAGTACCGTGGATATAACCTCTATTAATTATCTGGGGGTACCAGCGTTACAAAAAATCACTATTACGCGACTTTGGCCGGAATTATGGCATTAACAGTAGAGATTCACACTAGTGACGATTATTTTCTGGTCACGTGAAAGTGGAATTTTTATGGTGACGGTGGGAAATTCAGGCGCTTTGTCAAGTCAAATGATTTTTTCTCGACAAAGATAATACTAGTATCATATTACCATCAATGCTCCTGTCTCTTATACACATCTAGATGTGTATAAGAGACAGGACCATTACAGTAGAGGTTAAAAAAAATGACAAAAAAAAAGAAAAAAAAGTGAAGAAAACAATGAAAATGAAAAAATAAAGAAAAAAATAGAAAATAAAAGAAAAAAAAAATATAAAAAAAAAAATGAAAATGAAAATGAAAAAATAAAGAAAAAAAAAAATAGAAAAAAAAGTAAAAAGAAATGAAAAGAAATGAAAAAAAAAGAAAAAAAAAATTTAACAAAAAAAAACAAAAAAAAAATCTTTATTGTGCAAGTTCTAGGGTCTCCACTTGAGTAGTATGATACCATCACCTTTCTGGAGACTTTTTTTTTACGCGTATGGTGGTGGTTCTTCCACCTGGTACCAGCCATACTAACGACTTTTTTTTCTTACTATTTTATAGATTCCATTTATTGTTTTATTATACTTGTAATTAAAGAAGAATAGTTGAAATTCATGGTAGACCATCATCTATTTATAAGGTAAGCATGCGCTCCTAAGAAGCGTGACCATCATCGTGGGTGAGTAGGTTTGGATGTAAAGACGAAGGTTACCTAGTCTCCGTTCCGTAGTTGCGATAAGGTGGTCACCATACATATGATAGTGACCCAAGTGGTATACCTCAGCCACCCTTATGCTCATCACTACAAGTATACCGTACAACCCTTTTATGATGAACTCAGGCTTATGTTAACTTTTGTCATGTATCTATTTTATATAAAGACTATTATTAGTATTTTAATATATTTAAACTTTATTATCGTTATATTATTTGGCGAATTTATTATTTTTAATTAACCTAGATGCAAAAAGGTAATGCACATGTATTGTTGCATAAGATAGTTTTTGCGATATGTGTTGATCTGGACCTAATATCCGAATTATCGATTGTTAACATATCAGATATATCACGCTTGTAAAAACTCTTTTGAAGTTTAATTGAATGGAAAATTCAAGATGAAAGTAAAAAAAAATTCAAGTTGCTACAAAAACGAAATATAATACACTAACACCTCTCTAAGTGCACCCCCCTTGGACCATAGTAAAAAAAATAGTATTATAGTAGAATTAAGAGTTAAATTTAGTTTTCCATTTAATTTGCGTAGGATTTTGACTAACCGTTATTTTGAATTATAGTTATACAAAACTAATAGATCGTTTAGTTAGTCCGGAGCGTAGAGATCCAGGACTATACATGTTTAGATGAGGTGGTACAAAAATGTCCTATTGTCCTTTGATCGGTTCTTCATATACGGTATTTACGTATATCACAAATGTGCTATGAAAAATTGAAAATATCTCGATCTGTTTATATTAGATCAATAATAATTTTTTATTCCATTTTTTATATTTTAAAATTTTTGATGTTAAAGTTTTTTAACGTGCCCAAATAGATAGAATTTTATTATGTTTGTAAAATTTTATAACAAATATGAAACAAAATAAATTATTTTTGTACAAATTTACAACAAATGCGAAATAAAGTGAATCAAAATAAAATGAATTAAATATATCGGCTTGCTTTTTTCTTTGTTTGTCCTTTCATGTTATTGTATCATTTCCAACGTGATAAGCTCCGGACTTTGTAACGGTTACCGTTTCCCTAGTTTTTACTTTAGTTGATGATGTCGGTTGGCATATCACCTCTTAATTCTTTCTCAGTCTCTTATAATAGGGATGTATGATATGGGACATTCTCAAAGTTTGGAGTAAATATTAATAATTTTATTGTTGTTTTTTATTTTTGTCGTATTGATAAATTAATAAATGATGCTGCATCATTTTTTCCAAATAAATACGCTTGTACAAACATGTATTTCTATTACATGTATATCTCAAACACTTTCTAAGTGGTTATCATAAAATTATCTCAAAGAGATAAGAAATTATTATATTGTGACTTGTGAGCCAAGATTACAATAATATGATCGGCTTCAATATTTTTGAAAAAATGTTATATGCAAAAATAAGATACAATAAGAAGAAGTATAAAATTTTTAAATAAATTTTGAGGTTATATAATATAGTTATTTGTAAAAGTGTATATTTTAAAGATGGAGTGATTAATATGTAAATCAGATTAGATTTCATTTAAATTGTTAGAAAATATGGGATTTTATTAAAAGAAACGAACATTTAAAAACAAATTACAATTATTATAAATAAATAAATGAAATTTTAATGTAAATATACTATACTAAAAGAGGATATTTTAATATTATATAAAGCGAATAGTAAAACGAATCAAATTTATGTATAATTCTAATTAGTACCGTGGATATAACCTCTATTAATTATCTGGGGGTACCAGCGTTACAAAAAATCACTATTACGCGACTTTGGCCGGAATTATGGCATTAACAGTAGAGATTCACACTAGTGACGATTATTTTCTGGTCACGTGAAAGTGGAATTTTTATGGTGACGGTGGGAAATTCAGGCGCTTTGTCAAGTCAAATGATTTTTTCTCGACAAAGATAATACTAGTATCATATTACCATCAATGCTCTTTATTGTAAATGGGTGCTCAAATGGTTAAAGAGCAAAGCATTCCATTGATAAATAATATCAAATTAAAATGATTTCTTGTAAATTACTAAAAAGAAACCATAAGAAATTATATCCAGTTTAACTAATGAAAACGTTTGATTACATTTGAGTGATGATGAATACTATGTAAAGTGAATAATTTCACTGAAACAAAAATATCTTGCAATTTGATTAATTAATTAAGTAAAATAATAATATAATTTATCAAGATTTCCCATTTCAGATTTCAGGAAAATGATTACTTTTTGATTTTATATTTTATATTTGATGTATAGTTTGCATGTGAAATTAGTGCATCTTACCTTTAACTGAAATTAACGAGGGAGGAAAAGGTAGCGGAAACTTATCTATTGGTTTATGTTGGAAATGATTTATTAATATTGGGTAGAAAGAGAGAACGGTCGCTTTCGGCTTTCTTTACTAAGAAACAGTATTAGCTGATCATGATGTAGACGATGTAATTATCATCTTTTGTTACTCTGTCTTATATTAGAGCATTAATCACCGAAAATTATGGTAAAAATTAAATTTTTATATTATTCCTCTTTATTAAAATGCAATTTAACCGTACACATTACGTTCAAAATAATTATATATTAAATAAAATAATATATTAAAGGTAAAAAATTTACAAAGTATTTCATAAATTTGAATTTGATGTTACAAAAGCATTCGGAGAATCATATGAACTAGCGGAATGGATTAAAATGTTAATATTAGTAAATTGAAATTAAAAAACAAACACAGATTATAATAATAATAATATTTTTTTTTAATATTTACAAATCATCAAGCTCATCATCGCTAGATTCTGGATTTTCTTTCTTTTTTCTTTTATATGCGTACGCAGAAATTATAATAGAAAAATACACCTACAATATTTATTATAAAAAAGGAATCAATCTTATTAACTTTGATTAAAAAAAAAAAAAAATAATAATAATAAATAAAAAATAAAATTTAATACATACTGATAAAGGGATTGAAATAGCAGTAATAGCAATAGAAAGGGTTAATAAAGAAGTATACGTTTTATTACATGCATCAGCTCGAGATGAAGTAATATCACCAGGACCAATACAATCATCCAACATTGATGATTTATACAATACAGTAACGACAACTGTTACAATATGACTTATAATGTCAAGTCCTACAATCCCTCGTGCTATTTTAGAATATATTGACATCATTTTATAAGTGTTCTAAATAAAATTAATAAGGTTAGTTTAAGGGAATGAAATAACATCAACTATAATATCTTTCGTTACATACTGCTAAAGATACAACGAACAATCCAAATAATGCACCGAGTGTTATCAATCCATAAAAAATAATCGTTGAAAAAGTACACGCACTGATATATTTATAAACTAAAATATATATATAAATTAATTAATCATTTAGAAATGTATTAAAATATTGTACATACAAATATAGAAATAAAGCCAATAAAGTCACTTACAATTTATTCCTTCGTTTGGTGAAATGAGATATAATACATTACTTACAGTCTGAAAAATTCCATAAATCTTTAGAGAAAATTAGAATATTTTGTTAAAAAGATGTTCAAAATAAACAATTAACTCTTTTTAAAAAATTAAAAAATTGAATTTCTTAACTCACAAGCCATAATGATGATGCAATTACAACACCCGATTTTAACGGTATGCAAGAACAACATTTAGTCAATTGTACGTCCATTAATTCGTTAGAAGAAAATAATTAGACCATAGAAAAATTTCCTGGAGAGAAAGATCATAAACCATTGAAGTCATAGTGGTTAGTAAAAAGGTTAAAAAATTGGTTGATCGACAAACTTATTGGTTTTAAGTTAGTCCTCCTGTGCTCCGTTTGTTTAAATCACGAGGTCACACATCGGAGAATTCGGAGAGCACTAAGTTTAATCTAACCATTTTTGGCTAGATAATAAGTCTAATGCGAGAATATTTCGTAGTCGCTGCGTCATTTACAAAAGGGCTGCGGTCAGATATCTTAAAAATGATTTACAACTTAATTTTTTGATACAGGTTTTAGTACTACGGCATGTCTTCACTGCTCATATACTGTGTTGATTTTGTTACATTTTCCGTTAACAGCAATTTAGCGCTTTTCAACTTTTTTTTTTTGGATAATTATCGTGATAAACAATATTATGCTAGATAGAATTTAAAGTTTCATTTGAATAATAGAACAATAATACAAAGAATCTGTAGCTAGATTGGTTTCTATTATGCTACAGCATAAGCTTAGGATGCAAGAATAAAAATCAATTTTTTTTTTGACGGATAGAGATTGTGATTGTTGTTTGAAACCAAAATATTGAGAAATGTTACGTTACGTGACACCTTGTTTTAAAGAGTTTAAATATTATTTTCATTAACAGCATTAACAGCACCTATTTTTTAAAAGAAAAGAAAGTACTTTGTTCAGTCACTTATATTATTTTCCACAATCACGGGTTAGAAATGTTTAATTAGTCAAATTTATTTTTAGAAGTGGGCGCGCATACTCATCGTATTTTCCATAAAAGATCACTGATTTGGTAACTGTGTAATTTTTTTCTCACCCCATTTTTATTTTTACCAGCCAATCAATGAGATGTCATCACTAAAAAGTAACGAATATTGAACGTGACTTTTACAATGACATTTTTTGGTTGGGGTAAATGTTCTAACATCGAATTCACCCCTTTTTTTGAAAGACGTGAGAAAAAAAAATTTCTATTAATTTTTCTAGATTATTAAAAAAATCCATAACACAATTCTAGAAAAATTCTAAAACAATAAAATTAAGGTATAATTTATTATTTATGCATTTTTTTCATTGCAAATCCAAATCTTCCATTCTTATTTCTTAAAAAGGTAAAAAAATTTATTTGTATTAGAGTTTGTTCTTTGTTTTTTTATGAAAAAAAAACATTTATGTATGGAAAATAATGTGATTTAATCGGGCTTTCATTTCCGTTTTTACGCCAAGTTTTAACAAATTACATCAAAATGCCAAGAAAGTATCAAACTTTTAAATTTAGTAAGGATACATTCTCCCAAAGATCGCAGTATCTTATTTAGGAAAAAATTAAAATATTACCGAATTTCCACCTTGCCAAGTATTTTTGGCTATGTTTCAATTACCATAAGAAGGTTATGTATGTATACTGTATACACTATACACTGCATTTAAATTTCAATTTTTTTTTTTTGTAACACGAGCTATTGTTTCCTTTGATTTTTTGATTTTTAAATTTTGAACTTTTTTTTAGACGGAGAAGACGGAGTTAATTTTACATTGTTTCATAATCTTAAATAGTAATTTCCTTATGCACATGTTAAAAATATTCATTATACTTTTAGGAAGAAATGAATTCTAATGTTGATCAATCAAACTTATATAAATATGGGTGAAAGCTTTTTTTTTTTCTTCATTTATGAATAAAAAAAATTCTAACCTTCATAACAATTCACAGAATCTCTTTAAATACAATATATTGTAATTCTTTCAGCTACATAAGTTACAAAAAAAATGTCACGAATGAATAAATTGTTTTTCTGTATTCCGCAAGAAATTGGCCCTATAATTATACCATTATTATGGCTTGTAAGTTTTTAATATTTTTTTTTTTTATTTTTTTTATTATGCATTTATTGTATACTGTACGTACATAAATGTTTCTTAATAAAATCTTTATAAGATCTCTGGAGTTATAGTAATCGTAAAATTTACTTTGGATTTTTGCTCATCTGTTAAGGGAACAAATAGTAGGTCTTCATTATATCATATATATATATATATATAATGTCAAGACATTTTTTTTCATGAATATATTTCTAATAAATGATTTATCAAAAAATCACTTTAGTGTTTGCATATAGCAGCGTATATACTATCCTAATAATGGCAATTTGTGGATTAACGATTATTGGAGCAGCGATTATTTTATATATTTTAGTTTGTTTAGTATGTAACTCAAAAAGATTATGATATTCAAAAAAAAAAAAAAATTCTTTAACCCTAAATTTTTATATTTCCTACTTAGAAAACACCATACATGATATCAGTATACTTTAAAATAACGGTTGTTATTGGGATAATCATCATTATGGGTAATATAGCAGCACTTGTTGAATTTATAGTGCATAAAACAACTATTTTGGGGAGATGTAATAATGATTCATGTGATAACGCATACGGCAACTATTTGGCAATAGCCATCTTTTCTACCGTTATTTCAATTTTTTTATCTGTATGTGAAAATTTTTTTTCTTTTTATTTGAAAAATAACAGATATTCATTTTATTATTATTTTATAGGTGCATTTTGCTGTGGTAATTAACGATTATAAACATAAACAAAACGGAACCGGCCCATATGCGCCTGTATAAACGACAAGCAAAGGGGTTGTACTTTATAATCAAGTTGTTGCACTACAGGGGACCGTATTTAGTATTATTTTGAAGTATGTGTATGAGAGTGATCAACGAAACATTCCCAGGCATTGACTAATGTTACAACTTTTTTTTTTTTTTGGAACTTCATGCGCTTTTTAAATACGACAAATTGTGTGTGGTTTTTAAACGATGTAATATATTCATTATTTGAAGTTGGTTTGAAACTTTAAATTATAATCATAATTATATATGTATAACAGTCTTAACCATTATAGGAATATTATATTAATTTTTTTGATTCGATCAAACAAATAAATAGTTATACAAGAATCTATTTGTTTGTTTATAATTATTAATAAAAATCTTGTTTATCACATTAATATTGATCTATTTACAATTAAGTAAAATTCATTGTTAACATACATAAAAATTTTTTATTATAAAAGTTAAATAATCTGATGCAACTTTAAATAATTTGGAAATTCTAAAAAATCAATTAAATTAAGTTATGTTAATTTCTGACATAATCAAACAATAACCGCAGACATACTACGCCTGACCCTGATGCTATAAAAAAGAAATAATTATTGTTATGCGGTGCTACTAACGCGATTATCTGTTATTTTTTATTTCTATGGTTACCGACTGTCAATAATTTGACAATATCGATAAAAATAGTTTAGAGGCTGGAACCGGTTAAAAATCAACCGGTCAATTAACCGGTTAAGGCACAGTTAACCAGTTAGAAATTTTGATTTCATAATATACGGGACATCTAGTCACATACCGAAAAGCCACCTCGGTACATTTGGTAAAACTCGGTAAGTTCAGAATAAGGTAAAAACTATATTGTTAGATTAGAAACACAATTATTTATATAGTTCTGGCCAAACTTTTAATGCCGGTTCGAATTAAGTTGTCAGTCGTGTCGATCAACATAAGCGTGACTCACTGACTCATGGCTTGTTAGTTGTTTCAATATATATAACGATTATTCCATCGGAATCGGGACTTGTATCGAAGTTATTGGCTCGAATAGGTGATGTACTGGTAATTTCAGTCATGCTCATCAAATTAAAGATATAGTTCGTCAAATCATGATTTCTATAAGGCCAATAATACATTGAATCACGCTTAAAAATTTAAAATTAAGTACCTTATGTTCGAGATGCGTATTTTAGAATTTATTTATTTTATGGTGGGAAACTTCGAGATTAAGGAATTTGAATCATATGAGATAATATATATATTTCAACCTTCATATTCTCAAATTTTTTTATTATAATCTATAACATTAGATTTTTTTAGAATAAATAACACTAATATTCCGTCATCATCGCACATTCTTATTATTTTTTGACATATTTCGATAAATTATCAACTTTCGATGCACTATTTTCATGCAAAAGAAATAAATTTTGTTAAATAGGATTACGATACCGTTATTAAGTATAAAAAAAAATTGTTCGTATAACGGGTTAAAAATATGACAAGTATACTCCTTAAGATATAGTAACAACTACAGTAACGTTTATTAATAATAATTTTAAATTTCATTTGTTTTTATCATCATTGCTAAAATATCCTATAAGAACTTATTATTCCAATTAGATTGAAATTATTCCGAATGTACGATAGAGTTCTTAGTAACGCCCACATTAACAACAATATATTTGTTTTTTTTTTGCGTTACTCAGTATTCATTGTTACAATAGATTAATTATTACAAGGATTATTTATAAACTCCGTTTCAAATTTTTAATGAGAAATTAAATTTGTGATACGTATTTATTGAATTTGGTATCACACCTCTTACACGAAAATGTTAATTATATTTCACCAATCATTATCCATTCTTTATAAGAAATCGAAGGGAAATATAACATTTATAAAGTTAGCTTTTTTTTTTTCAAAAAAAAAAAGAGAAAAAAATTCATAATGGTTGTTATCGACCGAAAAAATAATTGCTGCTTAATCTTTCCGTTAAAAGCTGGTGTCAAAATTATATTATTATTATTTTTAGTAAGATTTTCCAGAATTTTTTTCTAATATTATCTTCTTCATTAGTTTTTAACAAAAAGATTTATGATAACATCATCTATTTTTACAATATTAAAAGATATATGAATTGGCTAAAGCTATACGCCTTATTATCCTTCTCGCATCAGATAAATCGTTAAGAAATTGTAAGTTCTTCATCATTATTTTGCCACTCAGAATTTTTTTAATAAAATAAATATATATTTCTATTATTAGCGTTGGAATTTTCTCGTTCTGCATATTCTATAATTGTTGCTTATGGGTTAATAGCGATTACAGCAGCATTTGGATTGTACGTTACGACATGTGCGGTATGTAAATAGACAATATCAATTTAAAATTTTTTACTCCAAAAAATTATTTTGTGCTTAACTTTATAAATTTTTTAGAATACACCTAAATTGTTATCAATATATTCCAAAATATTTTACGGAATTGCAGGATTTAACGTTTTTAATAGTATAATGATAATTGTTGAAACAATAACTTCTGCGATAGAATGTCCGAAATTAAATAATCCTAATGAAAATTCAGATTATTCTTATTTGTGCAAAGATAAATTAATATTTATTCTTCCTGGTTACATTATTTCAATTATTTTATCGGTATGTATTATTATTATTATTATTATTTTCTCTTTCTTTGAATAACCATAACAAAAAAAATTTATGAAAGAATTTGTATTTAATTATAGGTGTATTTTGCTATGGTAATCTCAGCTTATGCATGTAAAATGAAAGATAAAGATGATATAACAAATCAATTTAATTTACAAGTTTAAAAAAAAAAAAAAAATTTAATTTTCTACAAATTTTTTTGTTTTATAATAATATAATAACATGATTCTTATAATTTTAATGCTATTAAGACATTAATACTACTAGATCACATCATATTCGCCTATTCATTATTTACTTCTTATTTATGCTTTGAAAAAAATAAATAAATAAATAAATCGAATAAAAAAAGATAAAATAGATTGAATCTTTACGCGCGTAAAAAATCCGACCACTGTCCTCGTCAAACCATGATCTGGTATGCGATTATTCATGGAGAAAAAGTGATTATACAGTACTATTCGTTTAAAGGACGTGATAGAAAATTATGTTGTCAGAAATTTCTGAAGATTTCTGAAGATTCGTATCATTGAAGTCTGATGATTTATAACGGCATTATGGCTCTGTACACAACATCTGTATAGTATGTTTCTAAAAGCGCAGTAAAACAATCAATTTACGAGTCAAAACTTCTGTCCAATGAAATTTCCAAGATTATATAGTACGCACTACGTATAAAAATACTATGCCAAATCATCTTTTGTGATACTCATTATAAAGGTTGAAGTGATTTACCCAAACAATTTATATAGGATTTTGCACTCACGTGATCGCTCGGGTGACATATAATATGCGACGAATATGATGAATATAATTTAACGGCTTGAACGCGGCCAGGCGACCAGGCGTGACAAATATGTTACAATCACGTGAGTGTAAAACGAAGTACTTATGTACATCATGTGGTCTTTCAGCCATGTGGAATTTATATGTATCACTCTAAGTATCACTCTAATGAAAATAACTTATACTATATTAAATCTGGATTTAAGTTGTAGATTTAGATCGAGCAGCTGATCACTTGATCTGATTATATTTCTATTTTTAAGTTTCGGACTAATGAAAAGTTTCGCCGGATTTTGGCCAGGGTTTCGGTTTCAGAAAATGGGTTTTGAAAACCAATACTGTCCGAATCCGAAACCAAAACTAGGCCGAAACTAGGGGTGGGTTTCGGCTACAAGTTATAACTGTATAACTGATAACTGATAATTAACACAATAGTATTGCTTTACTAATATTAATCTTCATTTTCTCAAGTATCACAAGGATTATAAACTCCGCTTTCAAAGAGAATTAGTTTATTAAGCACATTAATTCTAAATTTAGTAGATCTCGTCTAATTCGGAATAGTTTTTTTAATCGTGGATTTGTTGGTGTAACCGAAAACTCCATATCAAAATTTAAAACTTTCAAGATCATACTTAATGCGCATTATTGTCGTCCCCATTTTAGGTAAATAAGTTGATACATATGTTGAAACTTTATTGTTGCTTTCTAAGTTTAGAAGTTTATTAAGTTTATTTCAATATATGGGTATATAAATGCAACATTTTCGAAAAAAATTCTTCAAAAGAATAATACATTTCTACTAATAACAGATAATAAAAAAATGGGTTTACAAATAACTAATTGTTGTTTCTGCATTCCGTTGAAAGCTGGAGTTATAATTATATCATTGTTTATGCTTGTAAATTTTCCACATTTTTCTATCAAGTTCAATAGCAATTGAATTTTATATTAACAATACATTCAAAATTATTTTTATTATTTTTTTATGTCGTTTTAAAAGTTCAATGGATTACTCTTAACTGTAGCCGAAGTCTTGAGCTTTAAACTGTATATGCAGGATAAAGGATTAAAAGAAGTTTGTAAGTCCTTTATTTTAATTCGTTCAAAATTATTTCTTTTTTTTAAAAAAAATACAAAATAATTATTTCAGCAAATGAACACTCTATTGCCGTTACATTTGAAATCATAATGATTGCCATTGATGCATTTTATACACTCGGAGCAGCATTTGGGTTGTGCGCTGTAATTTTTTCGGTATGTAATGGAAGAAATTAAAAGAATTTCTCTTTTTAGACTGAAATTAAGTTAAACTTAATTTTATTTAGAAAAAGTATAGAATGTTGAAGTTGTACTCTACATTTGGTTTCATCGTAGCAGGAATTCAATTTCTATTTAGTATATCAGCAATTGTTAGTTCAATAGTTTATAGATGTGCAGAAGGAGAAAATTCGTATGTATGTAATAAAATGAATTCCTATAGATTACCATACAAAATTGTTGTTGGAATTTGTTCAATTCTTTTAACGGTACGTATTAATTTAATATTTTTCTTTTTTGAGAAAAAAAAATTATTTTTTATGAACTGAAATATATTTATTTTCTATTATGATATTAGGTGTACTTTTCTTTAGTAATTTCAGCTTATGCACGTAGAAAAAAGGAAAAAGAAGTAGCAGCTGTTAGATATTTAAATGAATCATCCGACCAAACTAACCATAATTTTGTGTAAATTAAAAAAGATACAGTACATATATTTGTATTTTCTCTAAATTTCTGCGTCATTATAATGAGATAACACGTTAAGCAATTATCATATATTAAAATATCGTATTTTATATATATTTTTATAGTAAAAATTAGTAAGCATTCAGTGTGCCGAACGTTTATAATATTTAATAACTAATAAAACCAGAGATCATATTGTAATTTCTCTTATTGTCGTTATATTTATTTTCACGGATGGCATATGACTTGTAGCCGTTCTAGTCATAAAATCAATACAATGAATATGACCATAATACGATAGGTAATACATTATGAAAGCTAATATATATATTATATAAAATAAAACTAATACCTTTGCCATCTTTGTTTCAACTCGCATAAGCCGAGATCAACATGTCTTGTAAAGGACACAGCCACTCAGCCTCCGGTTGATAATCAAACGTAATTAATTCCAAGACTGGTTAATCAAATAACTTTAAGCCTAAATTAAAAAAAAAGAAAAAAGAAGAAAAGAGCGACAGAAAAAAAAAAAATCGAAATAAAAAAAATACTAGTGAAAACAAGTTATTTAGTACACAATTTTCATTAGACGGTAATTTAAAATCATGTGATTTAGCCATTGCGTCATCTAAATCTTATTTGTCTTTTTTCACCCATAATTCCGTGGGGAATTCAGCTAGTAAACCGGTCTGGATTATCATCATCCCAGGAATTATGGGGTGAAAAAATTAGTAACCATCTATAGTAGATTCATCACATGCATTTGTTTTTAATTACTTAAGATACATTATTGTACTACTTTAATGAATAATTAGTAAGATATGATCGTACAATAATTTCGTTTTTTATATCTTTTGAAAATAAAAAAATAAAATTTTAAACAATATATTTTGGGTTTATTTAAGCTGCATGGTAAAATATAGCGGCGCCAAATAACGAAATCAAGATAGTAGTCAAATATAACGAACACATTATTTTATGTTTACTTTATAATTTATATTGTTCAATCTTTTTTTTTTTTCAAATGTCAGCGAAAAAACTGTCATTAATTATGTAACAATGTCGATAATTTTTATTTTACAGTTAATTTTAAAGAAAATTCGTTAGTCGTTACTTATTATAGATATCTATAATATATACCGTACCGCACTGCTTAAGATACCCCAGGTATAATACAAAATATTTATATTTGATTTGAAAAATTATATAATACCCATGAGTATTCCAAAATTAGCCTAATTCTACCAGAATTAAAATTTTTAAGCCGTATATTGTATCCAGGTCTTTTGATGTGGGAATATTCTCAAAGGGGGGGTATCTTAAGCAGTGTGGTACAATATTATATAAAAACGCTAATTTTTATTTTACAAAGAAAACTTATGTACAGTAAAAGCTCGTTATAGTGAACCCTCGGTTCCAACCATTTTCGTTCACTATAACGAATATTCACAAAAATGAAAGATTTCTTTATAGCGAACCTTATATTAATTAATACAATAAAAAAAGTTTCTTTTAACAAAAGTATTTAATTTTTATTTAATAGACCAATGAATTATTTATAATAATAGTTCTATTGACATTTCATAGTATGATCTTGTAAATTTAATTCCTTATACAAATAATATCAATAATAGAGTGAAATACAAATAGTAAGTTTAATATAACGAATAAGATTTATTAGTAAGTGAACTGGGAATCACAATCATTATTATTTAGGAACAAATATGTTAATGATGGAAAAAACGTAGGTCGAATTAATGTAATCACCGGTCCTAATGTAATTTTTTTTAATGTAGCAGCTTTTTGACCAATAACATTGAGGGAATAAAAAAAGTTCATTATAAACAAAGATATGCTATAATTTATTCTTAACGTTTTACGTAAGTCGTATTTATAAAAAAAGAAAATATATTAAATCTAATAAAATTTGAGGCGCGCTCTGATTCCTCTAATTCCCATTCCTCCTCTCCTCCTCCGACTCCCATTCCTCCTCCTCATCCCACTCCCACTCCCACTCCTCCTCCCACTCCCACTCCCACTCCCACTCCTCTGACTCCCATTCTTCTGATTCTGATTCTTTCTGTTGTTGTTGCCGAGTTCAACAACTCTGACATGCCTTGGCGTTATAAAAGAATATATTCAATTTAGTTTATAATAAAGGGTTTTGAGATCATTATAAAAGATGTGTTTACGGCAAGTCAGAATCTTGACATATGCGCGTAGAATTTTTAATTTATATTTATCTACGCGCGCCCAAGAATCTTGACATATGCGCGTAGAATTTCTAATTTTATATTTATCTACGCGCGCCCAAGAATCTTGACATATGCGCGTATAATAATAAAAATAAATTAAATTGATTTTCTTAAGAAAATATAGTTCCGTAAAAGAGCAACGGTTGTTTAAAAGATAAGTGTATTTATTAAATGTATTTAAAATTTCTTTAAAGAATAAATGTGCTGTTAACATTTTTGTAAATATTATATTATTTTTTTTTTAAAAAAAAACCCTTTTATGGGTGATAAAACTTAGTCTTTCAGGGGACCTATTTATATAACATATCGTTGTACCATTTTTTCAACCCTATCACAGCATTATTATTTAGATTTTAGACAAATAAAAAAAAGATTATCTTCAAAACATTAATGAAAAATTTTTTTCTTTGTATGTTTCAAAATAAAAAGAAATTCTAACCAAAAAAAGTTTATCGATGACGAACTGTTGCATTCATAAACTTAATATATTGTACATATAATGCAAGATGTTTTAGAAATTAATGTGAGAAATTTTGATCGTCGCACGAAGATACATTTTTTTTATCGCGCGTAAATCGATTGTTTTATAATTTACGCTAATATTATTCATGAAACAAAATTTATTTCAAAAGAATATTGTCTATGAAAATGTCATTCTTTTATTTACCGTAATACATTTCAAATTGAGAAATTAACTGACGAAAAAATAAAATTGAATCAAATAATCGTGGAACATTCCAATTAATACAATGAAATGACAAATTTAGTAAATGGGAGATAGGGATTCTAAAATTATTGGTTCTTTAATCTTTAGTCAAATGATTAGAAATATCTTGCAGTATATGAAAGATTGTTCAAACTGCAAATAATGTTTCACTACAGATTTTCAATGAAATTAAAATGACTATTACTATTTTTTTTTTTTTAAAAAAAAAAAAAAATTATTAGTAATTCTCTAAGAGAAGGGGCTTAGCGAATATTTTTACAATCTACGTTTCAATCTGCTCGATTTGGACACATTTGGTAGATTTCTTAAGTAAATCTCCATGCAGATCTTTAATTAGTAGAGTATTAATTTGGTATGCAAAAAGGAAATCAAAGAATATTAAGGGGAAGTTTGATTGTTTCGCGTTTTCGGAATTTTTCAACTTTATCAAGCTTATTAACCTTATTATAATAAGGAAATGACATAATTAAGTTACCATCCAAAGCATCAAAGATTGTTCTCAAAAAGAATCTATTTAAAGGTATATAAAATTTACATCAATTTTTTTTTTTTTTAATTTGGATAAAAAAACGCTGATATCATGAGGCGCAATATTGTACAACCGTACGCATCAAATAAGAATTCATCGAGAATAGGTTGCCTAAATTTTATATTTTTTTTGCGTCCTATACCTTATTATAGTAATTCGTAACAAATAATGAAAAAAATAATATAGTCTGTCAAAACAAAATCAAATTTAGAGAACACGAAAGTTTGTGAATAATTAATTACCTTAATAAGCCTAGTTATATGCGCGCTACATCCTGTAACATGTAATATCGTTAATCTGTATTCATCATATAAACATCAAACACCAAATGCAGGGTCCATATCCTTTTTTATTCATTTTATTCGACTTGATCTCTAAATGTGGATAACAGAATTCAAATTAATGGCTCTTTAATAATATTTGTTTTGAAATTGTTACATTCTATAGAAAATAGAAATTATAACATGTGACAATTATATATAGTTCAGATCTTACATCATTCAACTTTCAACTCCGGTTTTAGAAACAGATTTTCTCATAATTATAAATAGTGAAATTTTACTTTTACACAACCAACTTGGGGGTCTAGCTCAGATGGTAGAGCGCTCGCTTAGCAAGCCTGTCGGCCTGTTGTGCGAGAGGTACTGAGATCGATACTCAGGTCCTCCAAATTCTTTTTTTTTCAAAATCAGCTATAATTATTTGTAGTGACCTGTTATCAAAAATTATCTATGATAATTAATGTTTAATCCAAAGCTTAATAGTAGCTGGTGATATACTTGATATACTACTTCTCATAAATCTTACTAAACTTAAAGTTCGTTGGAATTTTCAAATTTTTAGTAACGTATTTTTTTTAATTTAACAAAGATCATTTTCTTGTGCATATAAAAGAAAATACATCACATTCCATTGTGACATGATCATAACCGCCGAAGCTTAAGCTGTAATTATGGGTTAGTATTATATCGCGTGGTTGACGTAGTGAGGAAATTTACAGCGTACTGTAGTGGTTTTTGAGTTCTATGGACGGGTAAGTTTATATTTAATAAATTTCCCGTTTATGAAATACCGTATGACCGTGCTTACTAATAATTAACCATATAGCATTACAAGGGTCTTTTACATATGCGCCAATTTGTAGAATTGGCCAAATAGCATTACAAGGGTTTTTGACATATGCGCCAATTCGTAGAATTGGCCAAATTTAAGATTCTCAAAAAAATTTTATTTAATAGGGAATTATGTTTCACAAACATCAATTAAACATGTGTTACATGTTCATATGATCCAGATTTATTGGAAAAAAAAAAAAAAAAATTTCAAACTATCTTCAAAACCAACGATAATAATTACTTCTTTTTTCAAACACTTTTCAAACACTTTTCAATCATTTTTTTCGTTAAATAAACTAAAAAAGTTTGTAAGCATGTACAGTGGTTATTTCTTAACCAGTAAGTAAAAGAAAAAACATTAATACTTTCTATTCATAAAAATAATTTTTTTTTTTATTTATTTTTTTAACTTTGATTCTTTTTTTTTCTCTGTGGAAATATGTATAAATATAAGTGTAAGTTTAAATATAGGATTTTTGAAGAGTTTTTCTTTTTTTTAAGCAAGCTAATTTTATACTACTTATCTTTCATCTTTTTTAAGATTTTTTTATTAGTTTTATTCCATTAATGTCTTAAATAGAAAGTAAAATCTTTTAAATAAAGTGAAAGGAATTCAAGACTCTTTTACAGAACATCATTTGGTAAGAAATACAATTTTTGAAAATTTTTATGACGAATTTTATGCTAGTAACTTAATCGTCAATTTCTCAGCATGCATGTATGCTAAACGAATAATTTATATTTATTATAAAGGTTGGAACTTGCTCTATCTTAAAAATCAAAGATCATTCAGATTGGATCATTACATGTGGAGATATTAATGATCAAATTCAAAAATGGAAAATAAATGTATTGGACGTATTTATTCGACAACTAGTGATTTGCACTTTGCGATTTTGGATTCATTGGATAGATCTTGACTTCCTCTTTCGAATGGATATAAATTCATTCGTCTAGCATACATACACGTTAAGTTATTTGCATTTTTATCACAAGAATTCTTTTCTGATTTTTAGTTTTTATACCAAAAATAAAAAATTGTGTAACCATTTGACGTCACTTGCATCAGCTGGGGTAGATATATCATTCTTATGTGATTTGGTGATCTGAATTTGTTTATAAAAGTTGATTTTTTTGGCTTAAAAAACCTAATTCCAAAAATCGGCTGATATGAATAAACCGTTGAACGATTTTGATAAAGGATCACGAAGTGATCATCAAAAATCTGTGAAATAGAGAAAAATGATTTTGTAAATTGCAAAATCAAGTTTTTACACTACTTATCATCATAAAAGCTTTTCGTTACCTTAGAGCCGACTTTATTTCATTTATTGCTTGTCGATTTGAATTTTTCTTAATGATTGAATTTTAATTTTTAATTAACTTCAATTGTAACTTAGGCGAGATGAAGTCCTGGAGAATGTAAACATATTAACAGGCTCAGACATTATGATTGTGATTTTTTTTATTTTTATTCTTATAGCTTGTTCAAATATGATAGAACTGCTTTACCATCGGCCTAAATTAGAAGATCATCGTTGGTACAGTCTTAAGGCATCGATAATTTAGGCCGATGGTACGTGGTCAAGTTTACAACAGAACAAAGTACATGGAGTAGAATGTAACAAATAATATAGGTAGTAGAACTACCGTCTTGATAAACGGATAAGCATAAAAGCTGGGTGTGGTAGTGGTATGATCCTATAATGCTTGGTAATGGAAAAATTGGTGCTGATGGTAACGCTTTTCTCGGACGTGATGTTGATCGACAAAAAAATTCTTTGGTAATTTTGACAGAATCTGTTTGATTTAGGTTTGTTCCATAACTGACACTGATCCATTTTTAGTTATATCCAATTAATAAGTTTCGTTGGAAATTAGAACCAGTTTTATTCTTATGAGTCTCCGTCTAGAGCTCGGGTCTGATTAAAATTAACCATGTTACCGTTGAGAATGTTTAATATGGGTTTCAGCCAGAATTAAATCATTTTGACCGGAATTAAGAGGTAACACAAATTTTCAGTTAACTCTTTGCCAAAATTTCTAATTGCTTCGATAATTTTTTTTTCACTTCAGTTAAATATTATTGGCTCATATCATGTTAGATTTTTCATACGTACTAACTTTTTTTTAAACTGGAATACTTCTCGTATTCCATGGTTCCAGGCTAGTCTAGTTCCGGAGTTTAATAAAACCGATCAATTATGATCGTCTTTTGAAACAATAGTAAAATCAACAATACTAAAATCAAAACCATATTAATATAACTAATTTGGGTTCCAAACTTTTTTTCTTCTAAAATTTTTTTTTTTCAGTAATGTAACATATCTTTTAAATGACTAATTTAACAAAACTACCGTATTTTCTTCACAAAAGAAAAAAATTTTAATAGACAATAATATTATGGCGACACTTATTAATTCAACTGAACGCATTTATTATCGAGATACTTATCTAGATAACTTTGAAGCTAAAATTATTGCAATTGGAAATGACGATGATGGTGAATTTGTAATTTTTGACAGAACAATTTTTCACCCTCAAGGAGGTGGTCAACCGGATGACCAAGGATATTTTAAATTAAAGGATAAACAATTTACTATTAAAAAATTATTGGCTCCACGAAATCCTGAATATGATCCTTATTTGATAAAGCATTATTATGAAAAAAGTGACTCTTTTAACATGGAGAAAGAAATTAATCAAACAGTCTTACAAGTAATCAACATGGAAACCCGTATTCTTTACGCTCGTTATCATTCTGCTGGTCATCTATTATCAAATGCAGTTAACAAGTTATACCCTGAACTAGATGGTTGTAATGGAAATCATTTTCCGAAAACAGCGTTCGTAATATTTGAAGGGAGTCCTTTACCCAATCTTCAAGGACTTAAACATAAAGTGAACGATTTTGTTAATGAGCTGATAAAAAATGATCTTCCTATTAAAACAAATTGGGAGGTTAAACCTAGGACTATTCAATTCGGTGATTTTAAATCCTACCCTTGTGGAGGAACTCATATCGCTAAAACTTCAGAAATTGGAGTGGTCGTGATTCGTAATGTTAAGAAAGAGAAAGGAAGATTAAGAATAGGTTATGACGTTTACGATTAATTATTATCAGATTGTACAAATTTTTATAATTTAGAACTCATTTAATAAATAACTTTCAAAATTATTGAAATCATAATCACGCTGTCGAACGGCGTTAAACTCGTTATTTTCTATTAAATTTGGCTTATTAATTTAAGAACCAATTTTTCTAATGGTAAATTATCTAAAATTTTGTTTTAAAAAATTCTTTAAATTCTACTAATCCAGCAACTCCTACGAAAGACGATGAAAAATGAAGCAAGCCACATAATAATTTAAATAGATTTTTGAAGCTTGAGTTTTCGATAAAAAATCACAGTGTGCGTTTAATACCTTATTTTTTAATTATTATGAAGCGTGGGTATTATTATTTACTTTTCATTTGTTGAGTAATTTGTTTTATATCGTCTCAAATTCGATCATTTTTAACCATCTAACTTAACCAGATTGCAGTATTTTCAGAGCAATAAAAATTTAATAAATTTTAGCATTACTAACTGAATATAAAAATATTTTATTCTTAATTCGTACTTAATTCAGAGGGGTTAATTACGGTAAAATATGGTGCGTTAGGTGCGTTAATAACTATGCTTCCTTCCCGCTTTATTGAACTTGTTTTCTAGTTCCCCGATTTGAACCGATACTGGTTCGAATCGACTGACTACTTGAACCGAGAACGGCCCTTTAGTCTTTTCATCCTTAGTTGATTCATTATCACGAATTATAGTTATACATATCGGCGGATTTAATTCACATATTAGATCACATGTTAATGCTAAGCCACCTCGTTCAAAACAATCCTCTGAGTGAAAGAAAATAGTAGTAGAATAAAATAAAGTTTAAAAAGTAATATTAAGCTTCTTTCAATATTCACCCTTAAAATATCTTTGCAAATAAGAACTACAAAATGTCAGAATAAAATTTTTTTACGAATTAAAATAAAAAAACAAAAAAAAAACTTTTTGACCATAATTATTTAAACAACTTATAATATCTTATAATATGGCGTACCTTAAGTTAGATGAATTATTATTATGTTAGATGGTTTTTTATTAAGTTATTTTCGTCTTAACGTAAAGTAAGATCAATAAAATTGATCTTTGGACGCTGGCGTAACGCAACAGATTGATGCGCTAAATTTTACTCTTTGTAAAAATGTTCGCCACAAATAATATTTAACGTCATTATTTATATTTAATTTACGACTTTTATAGTTAAATAGTTAAAAATCTTTTGTGGTAATTTAGATTTATACTGTATATAAGGCCTCTCCAATTTGATTGTTTGTTTAACGTCCAGAATTTATGAAGAGATTGAGAGTCTACAATAAACAAATAAACATAATATAACTTTTGGGAAAATTCGGGAAATTCTGGAAAATCGTAATTTAAATTTAGAGGGAGTATTTAAACATATTTATTACTATATGTTTAATAGAATCCAGATTTTTGAAAAAATAGAGGGGGGAGGGGTATGTTAAACAAATAATTAAATTGGAGCGGCCTAATACGTTTTAAAGTAATAATTTATATTTAAGTCTAAATTTATATATATAAGACCGTACATTTCGTACAATGGTTGTCATTTTTAATTAAGAGTACAAGAAAAACCTACGCAAATCGCACCTTTAAGCCAGACGCTCAGATAAGTACCTATAATTAAAAAAGATAAAAGAAAGAAATAAAAAAAATGTTATACACTAGGTTCCATTACTTCCATACACTCGTCACAAAAAAAATAATACTATAAACTCTTCTGTAGTAGCATAAATATTATTAATTACCGGACAATAAAAAATTCCTTAATAATCAAATCATCTAAAAATTTGTTGCGCCATTTTTTTAAAATAAATGAGTAAAGCGACTATTAGAACTATTAGATGTATTAGGAATATTAATTAATCATCAGATCATAAAAATTCTTAAATGTGTAATCAGACCATTTAAAATTTTCCACGTAATATCAGTAAAACGGTTTAAATTTGATTGAAATTTATAATATAAATACCCTGCTTTTACACTCTTTTTTCTCAATTCAAACAAAGTTTACTATAACATAAATACTAGTATATGGATAACAAAATAATATTTTAAATATTTTGAACAAAAACCAAACAAACATAGTCTCTAATTGACTTTGACAGTTGGACATTGAATGACGTCAAACATTTGTTAAAAAAATTTTGGACATTGTGCCTTTTACAGTACCTAAGTGTTACTTTACAAGAATCAAATTCAAAGCAAAAAATAAAAAAATAAAGAAAGCAAGAGAGCTTTTAAGCTCAAAAAAAGTAAGTAAATTTATCAAAGTACAAGTGGGTCTACTGGTTCTTCAAGAGGAATCAGTTACGTACCTTTCCCAATCAAACTTACACTTTGGCGGAATGACAAGCTGGCTTATCCTGTGCAAAGGAAATACTTTCCTGGCTGTTACTAGCTTGCCTTGGAGCTGTGGTATATCCTGTGTGAAGGAAATATTTTCCTGACCGTTATGGCTTGCCTTGGATGATGAAGATTTCTTCTGGCTGTGTCTTGGATTTCATTATTACTTACTATTTATGTACAGTATATTACATAATACTTAGAATGATTTAAAGGTAAATGAACTCTGGCAAATATTTGGTCAATTAAAAAACACAATGAGAGTGAGTCTATTGAAAAGGAAGAGCGAACTTTGGCTCTGAAAAAGCACAAACTGGAGTTAAGAGAACAATCGGCCAAGTTCGCTTAAAAATATTCAAATTGAAACGGATTGAGAGATTTGGGTGGGTGGGCTGGGTCTAATAATTTGCATATATTTCTGTATTGGGTAGATAAATAGTTATTTTTTTTTTTAAAAAAAAAAAAATGAACACTCGTTCTCGATCTCCCTATCACCATTCCCATCATCACCACCATTCCGGTCATTCCCGACGTAATTGATATTAGATATTTTTTTTATTTCATTTTATTTTTTATTTTATTTTATTATTATATGTTTTATTTATTTGTATTCATAATTTATAAATTTACTGAAGATTTTTATATTTCAAAAAAATTATTAAAATAAAAGTTTATGCATGTCTATAATTGAAAATACTATATATATATATATATATATTTTCTTAAAAAAAAAATTGAACAAAGTGAAAACAAAATTTTATGTACGAATTTTATGTACGCTTACGTAGCTAAGCTTTCTATTTACATCATGTGACGCTACCGACCGAAGATCATTTTCACAAAGTTTGGCCGGCACTATGCATAGATTTGTTGGAGAAGTGATTACGTATAATTTATTTTTTAAAAAAATACTAAAATGGAAAAACCGCAGATTTTTATAAAAATAGGGGTAAATATTGAAATTTAATAAAGTGATCTTAACAGATAAAAATGATATACAGTATATTCTTGACAACGTTGGAATACATGATCATCATCACTAGTTTATCGACCTGAAGATTTTATTAAAGATTATGACGGGAACAAGCGTTCTCATTTAGCATTTTTTATGAAAGGTTGCAACTGACTGTCTTCGAATTCTTTGTTTTATCAAAACTATTTATTGTACTGTACGTATTTACTTTTTATAATGATTGACCTAATTCCCGTGTGACACAAACAAAGGAGTTCTACGTTACAATTTTTCAAAATAGAAAATTTCAATGAACTTATCGAAATACCAGATACTTTAATAATTACTTAAATAGAACGATTTCGGCCCTGTGAATATACGGAATATCCGAATATTTCATAGTAAATTAATTTACCTAAATAACGGTCTCGGCCCTACGAATTTAGTACATATACGTAACACCCGAATGCTTTGTTCTCACACACGAGCTAAAAATTAAAATATTATATTTATTATCACTCAGGAGTCAATTTGAATTTAAAAATTAATTGATAAATATTTTTATAATATTTAATCAATATTTTGATGCACAGCATTAACAAATGTATTAAATACATTTATCGGAATAGATAATAAACTCAACTTTTCAAGAGTATTATAAATTTTATTCTTTTCTTTTGTATTTTTATCATTCTATGCTACGCAATATTATTATGATAATCTCAGATTAAATTCTATCGATTCTCCTCTGAATTTGGCATCAATTGGCTAGTTATTGGTTTGTTGCATTGAATGCAAAAAGTTTATACATTATTTCATGTGGTAGAAGTTTCGATGTTATTTTAACCTCAAAACTTTGATTTTCTTTATGTTCAGCACACCAAGTTTATGTTTTTTTCCACTGGAAAAAAAATAAGATGTAAGTCGTTCAAGGAATAATCAGATGTCACAATTTCAACATACTTTAAATTACATATGCAAACTATCGCAAAATCTACCCTGATAATATTATTACAAATTATAATTATAGAGCAAATATTTTATTTATTATTTAATATTTATATAATTAATGATAAAATAATGTAATCTACAGCTTTAGAGATAAAAGATCTACAGTGATAATCGATCGCAGTTGATTAAGAACGAAAATTTTATTTATACACTGCTATTATTATATTATTTAATGATTTTGTAAATGAATATGTATTGATTTAGGCTGAAAGGTTGTGATAATGTTATGCAGCATGATCATAATTTTACAACTAAACGTTCAATGAAGGAACATTTTTAGTAAATAGGTTCAATCTATAATTTAAACAAAGATAGTAATTTAAGAATTAATTATAGTTATGATTTTAATAACAAATTTACATAAAACAAGCTTTTGTCATACATAGGGAGAAAGGAGAATGCGATGACTTAAAATTAATCATTTATTAAATGGAGAGTCCCGAAATAAATCAAAATAAAATATATTTAGTATCTATTAGCCGTTTTCATTTATACGATACATATGATAACGTAACAAATTTAATTGTTAGAAAATTTATTTCATTTGTTACACATTTTTCATTATATTCGGGCGTTTTCACTTTTCAAAGTCCCCCCTTTTTTAATTGTAGTAATATAATGAAAAATCTATTACAGCTGATAATGGATAAAAAATTGTCTTTACTGCGTAGCGTATAATAAAAAAAGTTAGGTTACATGATAATTTATTGTCAGAAATAAAAGCATATATATACAGTATAAAATATACGTTCCAAAAAAAAAAGTAAAATAAAATAAAATTATAATTTCGATGATATACGAAAAGTTTTTTAGCGGAGTAAATCGAATAAAACAGAGTCTAACTTCGTAAAAACTTATTATCGTATTCTTATCGAAAGTAAATAAGCTTAGTTTATGTGTTTATATTAGATATATTAGATAATGATGTCGGAAGATCCGATGGATTTAATGAGAATAATAAATATTGTTCAATAGCTATATTGTAAGAATGTAAGTCTCATTATAAATAAAGTAAATTTTTCTAAATTTATTTTATCGATTTCAATATAATTTAAAGTAAATCATATCAGATAAAACTTATATTGAAGTTAACTCCTTCGGAACAAATATTTTCCATTTTTCTTTTTATCGTTAATTATCATATGTTTATTCATAAGCATATATTAAATTTAATGATTGAACTTGTTCTTTTATAGACACGCACTTATTTTCTTGGGGAAGGTAATTACCGATTAATATAAATATGGAAAGTGTAATTCTAGGGAGCTCCGATAATAAATGTTATTGCTGATTAAGCAAAACATATAAAAGCCATCCTCAAGAACCTTCCTTTTTTTTTCTAAAATATTAATAATAAAATAAGATCATATTATTCGTATCACAAAATATTCTTTGTTCAGGATAAACTTCTAAAATTTTTATATAAATAAATAGACTCATTTAAAATGCAGCATATTAAAGATGAAATTAGGATAAAGGTTTTTATCGCCAAGAACCCATTAACAAAATCCGAATGGTTGATAATACGTTATGGAGAAGCCAGTGCATTATTTTGTGTAATAAGATTAGATCCCACATTTGTGATATCAAGATACTCCATTCAAAGATTGTTATTGAATATAGACAATCAAGAACACAATGCTTTACAACAAGAAGTCAAGTCTCTCTGGAAAAACAATTTACCTTTTGTACTTACCTATTTATTAAATGAAAAATACAATGAAGAGTTATTTTCAAAAATAAATGATGTGAAGCTGGTTCACTTTCTATCCGCAGGTCCTAATATATTCACTCCGTTTCCTCTTAGATTAAAAGAGCTTCAATTAGAACATGGTCCAGTTGGTCCATACATTCACCAACAATCAATTACTGAAGAATATCCATCCAAAAATGGAGATAAAAATTTAGCAAAGCCTTTTGATTTTTTGGGTCAAGTAAGGTATGACATTTTTTACAGTAATATTAATTATGCTATAATCTCTTCAGCACTAAACTTTTTCTTTTTGACCTTTTTGACCTTTTCTCAAATAAAATATATATTGAACAAACAACGATATAGTTTTCAAGCAAGACCAGTAACAGTTTTAATGCTTAGAGTGCAACCTTTATTAAGAAATATCAATCAAAGAATACAAAATCAACCAGGAAGGCTTAGAATTCGAAGGCGACAACTTAATGCTCAAATTAATAACGAAGATACAATATATCGACTCACAAACCTTCCTCAACAGCCAATTACAAATAATCCATTTATTGATTCATTTTTTCAGGGGACTTCTTTCCAATAAAGACGTATATATGTAGTGCGCAGCAGATGTCGATTTGCGTGAGCAGATGACGGCTGGCCTAGTAATGCTGGCCAAAACACTTAAGGCGTTATAATACTGGCCAATATCGGCCGATAATGTAGGCCGGCGTCATCTGACGCAAATCGATGCACAACATACTTTATCATTACATGGGGTTGGTCTGTACTAGTCATGGGCAGTGTATTTTACTTTAAATTCATCATGCATCACTTTTGATTTTATAATTAGTATATAGAATTTAATAAAGTTTAATAAACAACGTGCGGCTTCAATTTGAAATCTCTTTATTACCGTAAAAAAAAAATATATATATATATATACTTTATCATTACATATATTTTATTATTATTAGAAACATATTATACACCTTAAAATCATTTTTTGTTTTAGACTAGGCAATTATTATCTAAACTTTTAAATTTTGTTCTAAATTCTATTTAAACTCTTTATTATGTAAATGTAACTCAATTAAATAAAGATATGGCACTATGCCAAGTTTATCCTATTAAACTGTTTATAAATGGCAAAACTTACACGAAGGAATTGTAGAATTTCTGAATAAAAATTTATTTATTTATTTTCTTTTATTTGAAAGTGATTAAATTTTCGCTATTTTCGATTTTTAATGGCACATTTTAGGATTATAAATAGGGTATTGCTAAATCTCACCGCAGGTGATTTTCACCGCACCAGCATTAGCAAATATTAACGGGTAGAATTTCATGTCATTTTTAATTCTGCCCAAAATTCTACCCTAATTCCGGTAAGGTGACAACCACCAATGGTGATTGATTTAGCAATGCTCTTATAAATATGCATATCTTCGACAATATTGTCCAGTCATTTAAGAATACTGCGGTGACCAATAGGAATTAATGCTGATTTCAATATCTGATATTGAATATCATAAAAATATCCATTATTAAAATCTTGCATATTCAATATTAATATTGTACTCTAGCTTAATTGAGTAAAAAATGATCATACATTTATAAATTGATCATTCAAGGAATTTTTTTTTTTAGTCACTAACAATCTATAATTTGATTCTTATTATTGCTTTTTCTTTATCTTTTCACGTCGAATGCTTAAAATTAAAAAAAAAAGAATATTAGTTACAATATGCTCAAAGAAAATCCCTTTTTTTTAAAATCAAATTCTATCGATTTAAACAATCGTCAACATTTATACGAAATGTGATCGCTCTAAAAAAGTGGCCACCATCTTATAACTGAAATGTATACTTTGAATTAAAATTTGTAAAATAAATTTGTTAATTATAATGTTGTATCAAATATGCATATTCTAACATGCGTTTCTTTGGTAGGTCGAGTTTTCTTTATCATTTATATTTAAAACTTAAAAAAATTGGCACAAAGAATTTCTAAATATTCAAAATTTCGAGTTAATAGTGTATTGTATTTTAATATTGATTGTTATAATATTTATATTTGTTGCAAAAGTAGAAATGGTAATAAATTTGCTACAACGGATTAATTCTTTGATAACTGCAACGACTTTTAGATTTTCGTAATATGTTCCATATTATAATGAATTCTCGAATTTTTATAATAATTATATGGTGTTTAGGTGTTATATGAAGATCCGTGCATCAATAGAACAGATTGTTGACAGATGAGCCTAAAAACAGTATAAATATTGTCAAGGCGCCGGCACCCCATTCGATCGCTATCAAAAAGATCGACCTTGTTTTTACCAAAATATAGTAAAAACATCTATTTTTTTTTTTTTTTTTTAAAAAAAAAAAATTATTATTGTTTTAGTTTTTATATTAAAAAGGTATTGGTTTTATTTTGATACAAATAAACCCAAAAGTTACTTTATTTCTCTACTTAATTATAAGTGCAAATTTTCTTCGAGTAATTGTTATATCAAAATAATGTATCCCATTTTTCTATTAAAAAAATTGTTAGTTTTAATATATTTCATGATGTGGCACTTCAATAATAACAATAGTAATTTGGGAATTTGTTTAGAAACATAGTGAATTTAGATAGATAGACGGAGGGCATATATAATGTAATTTATTTATACTACTATTTATAATCTATGCATTCCTTGCATATTCTTTAATTCATATTATTCTTTGTATTTAGATATATAAATATAGTACAGTAAAAAAAAAAATGCGTGTTACCTGTAAAAAATCTCAATAACGTAATTATGTAGTAAGAATAGAAGTAGAATTGTAGTACTCATGTGACTTTGCTTTTAAGATCTGTTCGGTAATATTTACCATGCAGCTGATAATTGCAGATATGAAAAAACAAATAAATAATGAGGAATAATCACGTTGACATCAAAAATAGGTTTATTAAAAGTTTATCCGAAGAATAATAATTATTCTCTCTTTAGTAAGAGAAATAAATAAGCCACGTGCAAATAGACAATTCTCTTTAATTTGTGACCAAAACAAGCTCATCTTTAGAAAAAGTAAATAAATAAATAAATCTGTAAGTGTCAGCAGGAACCCTACTGCAGATATTACAATAAATATCCATATATATAATAGAAATAGTTTCATATATGCCGTTTAAAGAAATAAACTAATGATACGTTTCTATAGGTCAATTGCACTATATAATAACTAGCTATAACTATTAACAATTATGATTACCGAATATGAGTCATCATGATCAATGTTATTATTTATTATTATTTTAAGGTATGACTTTCCATATATTATCAAATGGTATAAAGTCGGCCCGAATTAAATAGATCACGTGTTCATCGTATACTCGGGAGCCGGACATTAATTTTAATTCCATCTACTTCCTGACCGCCTATTTGTGGATAGGTTATAGGAACTTACCTTCGAAAAATCAATGTTTTTATTTAACGAGGGAGAAAAAATTTTTTTTGTAAATGAAAAGCCACGAAGTATACGTTGAGGACAATATCGGAGAATTTTCGTTGGTTCAAATTTACTTAATAATGGAAACTAATTATTGGTACTAATAAACGTTAACTAGCGTACGTTTTCTTGTTTTTTGTAGGTTCAGAACACCAAAAAATACGAGTCTCAATTCGAAGGTAATAAATGAACTATCTTGTTATAGAAATGTCATACTACCGTCTCGCCTTTCATGGGGAAAGCATGTTTGTTAAAGTAGTTGATTTTTTATGCGTTTTGTATGATTGCGTCATTTATTAATTAAATTAATATACATTACTGTATATAAATTACAAATCACCTCTTTATTTCTTAATTCCTCCACTAATATATGTTATTAATAAAATCACTCTGATGATTTAGAAAGTTTGTAAATGAGAATTTTTTTACTTGGTCATCTACTATAAATGTGAACATATTTTATTACTAGTAAACAAATAAAACATCAATTTCGAATAAATTAGTTACATATATCTATCCACCTGCCTAACTGCGAACAGTCAAATATACGTCAAGCCGGATAATTGACAAGAAAAAATGGCTTATAATTCCAAAATTCGTATCAAATGAACTCATTTCAAATTTGATACAAGAAATCCCATGTAAGCATGTTATTATTTATGTGACGTCATGTTTCCTCTGTGCCTGTACGCAATATTTGTACGGTTTGTCTAAATCTCTGGATGGAGAAATTAATCAAAAGATGCAATCTAAATTTATTTTGACTTTAAACGAAAATTTAGTTACCGATTTTCAATTTCCGTCGTCGATATTTGACTTTCAGATTAATATCGTCTTTTGAGCGTTAAATCTTAAAATCAAGAATTTCGTGAATAATTTAGTTTTTATTACAGAAGCTAAAATGATTCAACAATTACCTCCTAATATGCTACCCTAGGCCAATTATGAAATGAGCCCATTCGGTATAAAATTTGGCCATATTTATTTTAATTTTATCCCATTTATGGTCCAATTTTTCATACCAAACGGGCTCATGTATAAATTCAATACAAACCTAATATGAATTCAGTACAGGACTTTTTACTGGGCTAGAGTATCTGTACCACCGATATTTGCTTTCACGCTATATTAATCTTTGATGGTTAGGGCTGTTTGAGGACCTTCCATTATCCCTCTAACCGTAACTTTTCTAAAATTATTAAGTTCCAGGCAAATATAGCCAGAATACACTTATAGGGATAGTAAAATTTCTTTATAAATCAAGAAATCAAGTAATAAATTGAATAAGTAATCGATAAACGGTATAAAAATGATAATAAAATATTTCTTGAAAAAGGTATCTATCTCACCATAAAAATGTTGGTCCGTGTTTTATATTTTCATGTTTTTTCCATGAATGTATCATTTTCACGAATTTTTACGGAAGCTACGGAGAAATAATGGGAATATTCGGATAAAAATTTTTTATAGGGTCTTGAATTGTTTGTTTTTATTAATTATTAGCTCTTTATAATATTCAAATATATATATATATATTTGTTTATTCTAAATAATTTATTGAAAAAATGTATGCAAAAATAATAATACAATGTTTTGTTATTAAAAAAAAAAAATTTTTCAAGAAATTACAAAAAGACTATTTTTGTAAGATAAAATAAAAAACAAAAATACGAATATTATAATTTTCATAAAAACTTACGAATTTTTTAATGTGGTACAAAAAATCGTGTTTAAGTCACATCAAACATTGCAAGGTTACAAGGTTACAAATGTTTGTTAAAAAAAATATTGTGTAATATTTTTTATTTAGTTCTCATATGTGTATATGCGTACAAGAAACACAATAAAATTTTCTTTTAAGCATGTCAGAAAAGGAAAATTTAAATGAACAAACTTTGTTTTTTTATTTAGCCAAATTAATAATATTGTTTCAGCCTTCTCAAAATATATGGAAGCCATACGGAACATACCGAACCCTCCCCCCTAAATAACGATGGAAATTACTCAATTAGTGAAAAAACTTTTTTTCAGGTCTCCGTTATAAACGGAACAATAAAATATAAAATGTATAATATTAGACGCCCCAATTCTATCTTTCTCAAATTTATCTAATTTTCGAGTTAGTAGTTAGACGATTCATTCTGTGTGTCACGAAACTTTATTTCCTTTTAATAAATTTTTTTATATCAATTCTTTTGTGATAATTGTTGAAATAAACCTGCCTGATATTGCAAAATATTTTTGTTGGTTGCTAAACTGATTGATTTATTAGGGTTAGATCATTCCATGTTTTTATTTCATGACATCGGAATTTTTACAGAAATTACGGGTAAAATTTTCTACAGGGTATTTTATTACGGCTGTTAATCATGCATAGTCTCTTCCCGACAAATTAGTGAATATCCGAACACCAGGAAACTTTGTTTTAGCGCATTTATAAAAGGTGTTATAGTTGGTTAATGTACATTGGATTAAAATCAAGCACATTAAGACGTCAGGTCGCTCTGTGAGAAGCAAATTTTCTCTAATACACGTCTCTGAAAAGAAGATAAAACTCTCCCAAAAATTTCATGCTCCTTGTTATCTGGCAACCTAGAATATTATTAAAAGATAGAACGTATGTAGTTTTTCGTTTGATTGATCTTGTCCATATTGACATGGTAATTAGAAATGTTCTAAACGTTTGAAATTAATTTTTGGACAAAATTGAAGACATCAGTGAATTAATATGCTTTCTTTTTTAAAATATTCAGAACGTTTTTAAATTTATAGGAATAGTCCAAGTTCGTAGTATATATTGTGTAATATATAAATAAAACTGAGATGAGCAAGCTATAGAACGATCATTATGTTGGATTAAATAAAAATCTCAAAATTTATCAATTTATAAAAAATGAATCTGAATTGCTTTCTCTTTTTTTTTTCTGGGGTAAAATACGGTGAAAAATATAATCTTCTAAAATATTAAAGCCTTAAATTTACACTTTTGCAATTGACGAATGTTTATCAATATTGTAAAATATTCTAAAACGAGCTCAAAAGAACGTGAAATATTATTAAAAATCAGGACAGAATCTCTGCCCAAACAGTAAAACGTTAAATTCATTTCGCTAGCTTTATTACTTTATGAATTTATTTAAAAGTAGTAATATATAATATATAAAGCATTTATTATTAATTGCATATAATGAGATTGTAATTTGTGTCTATAAAATGACTGTAATAAATAAAGGCATTTTGAAAAAAAAAGGTTAAATAAAACGTGTAAATAACCAATTTTTCCGCCTTTCCATTTTAGATTGATCTACAAACGCAATTTTCGAATTTGAGTTTGCGTGGAATCAAATTAAAATATATAGAACGGTTAGATCTTGACGCGTTAAAGAATGAAACGTGTTTTTAAAAATGGTAAAAGTAATAATTTGTATCATTGTCTCATCGATCAAACGCCCGGATGGTGGAATCATTTTTTTGGTCTTGCTTACATCATGCATTGAAACGTAACACAACCCAGATTAATTATGTTTGGTTACTACACGTAACTTGCTATTGTTGCTATTGTTCGTTCTCATACATAAATAGTGATTGTATACTAACAAAATTGGGTTTATTATATGTAATTTATTTATATGTAATTTATTTATGTGCAAGATCGATACCGTAACTTTTTTATATTTATATTCTTTTTATTATTATTTTATATTAATATCGTTTTATCTTTATTTTATAATTTATTTATTTTTGTAAAATAAGTTTATTATATGTACCGTATGCGCTTTTGGTATTTGTGAAAGGCTTGATTTTATAACAATCGAAGTTAAAGAAGTGTGTTACATAGATATATGATAATTAGTTAAGTTCTCGCTTGTTTACTCAAAAATTTAAACCCTTTTCTACATATGTATTCAGGGGAATCTGAGTGGCTATTTTTACAAATTTCAGAAAAAAAAAAGATTATTGATGATGATAATATTTCTTATTATTATTTGTATTACAATTTACAATGGTTTGTTATACATAAATTATATATTATACCAAAAATCTAGTTTAAAAGCTTGATATAATGTTTGTTTATTTTTTTATTTATTTGCAAACTTAAAGTAAATAAAAATTTTTTATTTTTCAAATTGATATAACAAAGAAAAAAATATTCCAAGTTGTGCAACTTTTGAATTTCCTGCTGTGGATTGCTAACGCCTAATGAGAAAGTAATAAAATAAAATAAATATAAAATTTATACAAAAATAAAAATTGTAAGAAAATTTTATTTATTTATTGTCGTACTAGTAATAATTAATACATATTAAGCTGGCTCGAAATTTCAAATACTAGCATCTACTACGTAATTTTATTATTTTTGGTATATTTTCATATGATCAGTCCGAAATCTGTGAATATGAAAGATTGTGAAGATTGTGATATAGATATATAATATTAATTAGTCAAAAAATGTATTAAAGGATCGGAGTCTATTTGCACAATAATTTTTATAAAAAATCAATTTTCGAAATTTTAATTTATTTTCCATCAACTTCCATATTCGGATATACTTATGTACTACAAATAAACATTATAAATAGCATCGTTTTTTTGTTCGTTCTTGAGTTCAATCTTTTTAAAATCAAAATATTGAAAAAAAGTAAATATTTATCCCTAAACATTTAAAATCATTCAAAATATTTAAAATGCAAAATTCAGTAGACGAAATTATGATAAATATTTTTCGATTCGTAGAATATCCTATTAATCTGATTTTAACCTCTCGAGATTGGCTTCGTATAGCCAAGGATCCTTACGTCAAATCAAAATGGTTAATAACAAAATACGGAAAATTATATGCTTTGTACAATGCAGCAAGGTTGGGGCCTAGTTTTATCGATATATCATTGTATAAAATTTTAATCGCGAGAAATGAGAATGCCTCAGTTCCAATTTTTTTTTTCCAAAGATTATTGATGCACTTGGACAAATATGATCAAAAGTTGATTCATCTTAAAACAGAAGATAATTCTGGACATCCTTATACTAGTTATCATGTTTATGCTAACAAATCAAAAGAGGATGACACAAAATTATTTCATTTTTTCGCTTATGGAACTCATGTAGTAAACTATGGCCAAATGATATCATTAAAAGATATTGGATCTTTGTTACCACAATCAGCAAGTACTAGTGGATATTTATCAAAAGTTGATTACGAAATTGATAAATTTGATTTATTTAAACTTTTGGAATTAATTAATTTCCTAGCACAACCAAGGTAACTAGTAACAATTATTTTTTCATTAACATCAAATTTTTTTTATACCATTAAATAACTTTTTTAATCTCTTCTCAATATTTTAGACCGCCTAGAATGCTTGGTGTAAGACATGGAAGACATAACAAACTTGATGGAAGACATGGAAGACAAAATAAACTTGGCGGAAGGCACGGAAGACAAAATAAACTTGAAGGAAGACATGGAAGACAAAATAAACTTGGCGGAACGATTGGTGGAAGTTACGGAGGACAAGATAATTTTGGTGGAAGACACGGAAGTCATGTTCAGCTTGGTCAGCTTGTGAACACGAATAGGCAACCTACTGCACCAATTGCTAGTTTCTCTCAGCAACCAATTGCTGATCCAAATGATATATTATTGGTTGAAATGATTGATGGATCATCATTCTTTTAAAAAGTTTCTTGCGCAATAGTTATTTTTATATCTGAAATCAATTCTTTAGTTTCTTCATTCGTCTAACGAGAATTATATACTCACGAATTATATTTATTATTATATAGTTTATTATTATATAGTTATGAGGGTTAGGACTTAGGAACATGTCACCTGTTCATTCTTCAGTATCTATATCTTTCCTTTTTCGGCCAACTTTTATCTTGTTTAGCTGAATATTCCATTAGTATAACGTTAATATATGAAAAAAAAAAAAAAAAAATTACAAAATACAAAATACAAAAAAAAAACATTTTATTTGATTTTATTTTTTTTATTTTATTTTTTATTTTTATTTTATATCTTATTTATTTGGAAATTTTATAGGGTTATTTTTATTTCATTTTATATATTTTCCTTTAAATCTATGTTCAATGTTAGTAGATTTAGAAAAAGAAATAAAAAGAAGTATGGTTACTGATACTTATCCTCAGATTTTTACAATGGTACTCTTTTAGAAAGGTTAACATCATCTTACGAGCAGTGTTTCAAACAGTTTATGCACAGTAAGATCTAAATGATTTACATCAGTATATAATAATTACGTTAATTATATAAATTACATTTGTTTCATAATTCTTAAATTCAATTGCCCCGCCAGGAACTTTCAATTATATAACAACTAAAGGTTTATTGTCTGATTATATATGTATATTTATTATACATCAAAAAGAAATGTTCAAAAGCAAAAGAGATTAGGAAATTAAATTGAATTTTATTTATGATCATCTAAATTTTTTTTTTCTCTGATTTATGGTTACACAACTTTTATAAGTTCAAATAACGAATCATTTTATTTACAGTTTAGTCACATTTAAGCTTTTCATTCATCTCTTTCAGGCATATTATTTACCACATTTCACTTTTTGTTTTATCATGCATCATTTACAAATAAAACAAATAATGCTTATTTTTCCTATATTTGTATTCACATAGTCATGTTTGCCATCATCCATCAGCGATATATCCAAATATTCGGCTGCACGTGTGTAAATATTTGTAAAGATAATCTTTTTTCATTCAAAATTTTAATCTTTTTTATGATTATCACATGAAACCTTATTTTTTTTTTAGGAAAAAAAATAAAAATATATTAATACGACTATATAGTCGTATCTGATATCTTGCTATGTATGTATTATCATGTGATGATTGAATGTTGACCCTTTTAAATGGTTTTTTTGAGACAAATTTATACTGATACTAATGAATATTAATTTGCAATTCTCGAGAGATATTCATTAATGATCGGCGGGCCGAAATGTATGGTTTTATTATAATTTGAACTTTTAAATGTACCAAATAAATTCCTGACCTTCCGACTATCTCATTGAAAACTCATGAGGATATCTACTCATTTTTTTGCAATCAATGCTGGGCAAATTATACTTTATGGCAATTAGAATTATTATAATATAGGCCAGGGCTGCTTTGCTTAATTATGTACAAGCAAATATGTATAAAAATTAACATATAAAACGCCCACCAATTATTAGTAAAATCAACGAAATCGTTTCATTTCGAATTAATTACGAATTAATTTAATAATTTTCTAATTTTCTTAAAAGCTTTTACCATTTTGCAAATAATTGCACAACCAATAGCGTTAAAAAATTAATTATTACCATTTTTATTATTTTCAAGAGTTAGAGTGTTGAAAAAAAGTTCATTTTATTCACACTTACTAACATATATTTTCTGCACATACTTCTTTCTTAAAATAAAAACAACGCTGTGTTTTACAATTCAACTGGTTTTAACCAATTTATTTTGTTAATTTGTTAAAGAATGTTCTAATTAAGCTGAAATTTATTTCTCTCTGCAAATATCATAATATTGTTGTCGTTCCGAAAGTTGTTGAAACTCACAATTAGTAATCATTTTTTTTTTTCGGAGGAATTAATTTAGGTTGTTTCAACGACGTACAGTGGGGTGTACGATATTAACGTACGAACTGGTCCGAGTTTGGGGTTATGTACTTACACGCGATAGCGTTAACATTAATTCCGACCAGTTCGTACGTTAATATCGTACACCCCACTGTACGGAACCCCTGTTTCAACACGAGGATTTATTACATTTGCATTTTGCAGTAATTTTGGCCAACTTATAATGCCGGTCGGAATTAAGGAAATCTTTAATTTTGACTTCCAATCGTAACCTTCGGGCCGGAATTACAAATTAGGCTCGAATTACTGCCGATCAGCAATTAACTTTAATGTTTAATTAATATCAAGAGAAGTAGATAATGAAGTCAATAATTAATAAATATTTGCTTTTTTATCCAAATTTACGGACAGCTGGATAATTATTTTCTATTCGAATGTTTTATTATTCATTATCCAGGGCGTCCTTAACATACAGTATGTGTCACGTGATAGCGTTAACGTTAACTCAGTTCGTACGTTAATATCGTACACCCATGCTCTGTATATTAAGGAACCTCATCTAGAAATATGTAAAAAATAATTGTTAACAGGGTATAATTATATCCGGATCCATATTAGTGCTCTAATTGTAATGCCATGCTAATATAACGTATAAAAAAAAATCATTTCCCCAACAGATTATCTTTTATTTGATATAATTTTATTTAGTACATAAACGTTTCTAAATTTTTGAGAGATTTGAACCGGTAAAACCGGTGAAACATGTACTACTATAAAATAGATTCTGTAAATTTTCAAATTATGTCTTCTAGAAAGTGATGTAAAATTTACTTTTTTCTATATTCATTTTATAATGAATAAGGTTAATTCTAATTCCGGCTAGAACTAAAATTTGTGGTCAAATATTTAAAATTAAGTTCAACCAATTAAAAGAATTTTGAGTCCTACAAAATAGTTTCAAATCTTTTCATTTGTTTTATCTGTCATGTTTTGTTACATCTACAGAATTTAAATGGTAAATAAATTAACATAAATTATCAATTAAATCTATATGTTGACAATAAAAATTAATTAACTATAATAATAATGGGACAAAATATTTTAAAATTATTTACTATAATAGTAAATAAAAAAAAAATTTTTTTTACGTTATATCGATTAACTATATCTTTTTTGCGATATGATGCATGTGTTTGTGCATCAATAATTTCATTGTTGGCGAACTGACATACGGAAATGTGGGATATATCCAAGGTTCTGTTACGTAATAGAGCATTGAGGCTAACCAGGCTAGCTATGAATTTAACCGATTAACCGTTGAAATATGAATCATTAATTCCCTGCTGATACCGTCACCGACGCTATTCTTCACGCAATTATATTTCACCGCTATTAATGAATATGCTATTGCTGCGTAAGATCACCGGGCGTGAAAATCGGTATCGGGCGTCGGTGAAAATTACTGTGGCCCGCCGATCACATATATATTTCGCATTTGTAATCACGGGAGTAGTGCAAACAATTTGTTTTGTGATACATGTTTAAGGGAATGACAAAAAAAAAACAAAATTTTTTTACTATTTAAAATTATGTAGTAAAAATATGGGTGCACACAATATAAGCATAATGAGTTTGAAAAGAAAAATGATAATACAAAATAGCAGTTACTCTTCATTTTCCAATCAAAACTTTGGCCTTTAATTTTTAACATCGCCGACGGCAAAGTCCTATCGAGCAATTACGGTGTAATTGTACGAAAAGATACGTTTGGCATGAAGTAAATAGTGAAGTATTATTTTTATTGTTTTATTGTTTTGTTGATTTATTATTTTTTTGTTTTGAGTGAGGACCGTGTAACAATAATCGCAAACGCAGTAGTGATTTACAAAGATTTCGCTTGTCTGACTAAAATTGTAAGCAGGGTCATCGAGCCCACATAGAGGCTTTTTTTATTGTTTCACATATACTGTATTAAGTGAATATCACGTGAGATGATGAGATTATATGCTGTGAATAATGTCAAGTTTTTGACATGTATTCATACAGGGATTTTCTGTAGCATCGAATCCCGCGGTCCCGTGATGAACTCAGTTTTGTTTTATATCTTTTAGAAACAGGAATGTTTATAAAATACGTTCCTTGTATTGAATAAAGTAAATAATTACAACTTGCGAACTTGCGATCATAAAAAAAAAAAAAAATTAATAATTGGATCCTGTAGAGATATTTTGCGGCCAGTTTCTACCTTAGGTATTTAAAATAACGAATAATTCAAAATTTAAAATTATATAAATAATTAGAATTTAAGAGAGGTAGGAGGATAATAAGTTCATTATTTCGGCTGTAAATTCTACAAGGAAGGGTCGACATACATTTTTTTTTTTTTTTTTTTTTTAAAAAAAAAAAAAAAAGTACGAGACGAAAGCGAATAATGTTTTGACAAGTCAATTAAATGCAAATTGAGTATCAGATTTCTAAATTTTTAGAGATGAGATATGATCATCGATCTAAAGACCAAATTTAGTATTCCGAATTTCGGAGATCTTAAATTTTCTCGTTTTGGTAACATATAAATGAAACTCTTTCATCATAAATTGATTATATAACCGAAAAGGTGCCTTAAAGAAATATTATGTGAAATTTCGCCAACAGAAGAAATTTTGAGATTGGAACAAGAAACAATATCGAAAATAATATGATGTAATTTTGCATTTTCCTATAAATGCCAATATATAAATAAGGTTCAAATGAAAAATTTTTTATGATGGATGCTTTAATTATAGTATTATATAAAATGTTTGTGATACAATACAACGATCACACAAAAATACAGTTTATGATTAATGATGTTTCGGATTATAGATGGAAGATTTCTTTTTTTACCGGGACTTTAATATGTCAAAAAAAAAAAAAAATTATTTATTCATCAATAACGTCAATAATTAGTAGTGCATAAATGAGGTTACTTTTGATGCTCATATTTTTCATATACTAACGTGGGAGAAATTTATATTTGTAAAAGAAATTTTTTGGCACCACAGAAGTTATGAATTAAACACGTAAAATTTTATTTTCTCTTTAAATTATTATATTATCGTTTCTTAGGCTTTTATTTTAACTTTTCAACTATTTTTAATTTGGAAAAAAGATCCACAAAATATAAGTAAATAAATTAAACCTTATGTTTCTTATAAAAATGTGAGGGGAATCATTAAGTTATTTAAATAAGGTAAAGTTGGATCAGCGATGTGCACAAAGCTTATGTGGTAATAATTTAGCCTCATGTTGCGTTAATCACCATAATTGTTAAAGAATAATACGGCGTACTTAGTATTTAAGTAATTAAGTGTTCCAAATTGTTTCAATAAGTTTGTACAAAAAATTTTACATTTAATTAAGACTTAAAATTTATCTAGTTCGTACAAAATATATTATTGTGAGAGGTTGTACCTATTTCATTTTGTGGAAAATCAGTGAATGTGATAATTGCACAAACATTCATTTGCATTAATCATCACTTTCAAATTGACATTTATATTTATGCATTAATGTGACAATTTAAATATTGTTCCCCCGATAGAAATTCAGGTTTAAAAACCTGCTGTATGGCAATAAATTTCTTTGTCTTTGATTTACGCACAAAAATATTTTGTAAATCTAAAATTATCGTATTACAAAACTTTATTTGGTTTCTCACGTATCGGACATATCATCCGAAAATATGAAGTTTATGAAATAGATTTAATATTGCCTTTTTCCTTTAATTTTTTTTTTTTCGATGAGATTTTTTTTTTTTTTTTT